TTACATATTTGAACAGATCATCTCTTTCAGTTGAATTATGTCCTATTTGAGTATTGCCATCATATGCCAACCAGAATCAATATTGGTGCATATTCGCACTTAGAAGACCAGCTGTCCTGCATCAGAGAAAAATTATGTCACTTTTCTTACAAGCTGTTGTCATTCTCAGCTAAGAATTATGAGTTGTTTGCTTTTTAAAAAGCTACCTTCCTGCAAACTGAATATTCCCAAAGAAACAGCATCTCTCCTGACAGCTCATGCTGACAAATTTTCCTACACTCCCTTCAGTGTGCTGAGGCCTGATCATAAGGTTTCTAGAGTGATTTTTAGTCCTCATGCTCATTTGGAGCTGTTTGTGGTGCAATCATTCTTCACACAGTGGTTTTGGTGTTGTTTGTTTTTGTTTTTTTTTTGGGGGGGGGTCGTTAATTGTAAAGCTGTTCACCTGCAGCAGGGACGGCTACTGATTTCTCTCTCATATGGGTCACTGACCAGACACCAGATGGTGGAAATATTCTGTCTTACTAATCTGCCCAGAGTTGGCAATTTAGAGGTGAAAAGCTTTATCCCATTACCAACTGCCTGAGCTGTCCTGTCTCCAACCTGCAGGCTAAAGATTAAACAGTTATAATAGCCTTGAAGTAACTACCATCCCCTCAAATATCCCATCTACTGCACATCCCAGATATCTACTAGGCAGATCTAAGAGAAGATTCCTGTCAGTACACTTCATTGACTTTAAATTCTCCTAAGGAGAAATGAAAAAGAAGCCAGCTTGGTAAAATAACATCAAATGGGACAGTACTACTTATGCAACATCTGGAAGAAAAAGTTTATTGCAGACAAAATATCAGGAAAAATAGAAAATCCAAGCAGGCTGTTTGTGAGAAATTAAATCTGGAAATAAAGGGAGGAGGCATCATAAGAAGGAAATGCAAACACACAAAAAAGGCAGAAAATATTAAGATGCAATTTCCTTTTGCAGGTTTCAGAAAAAAATCATATTATCAGTATAACACTACACAGCCATAACACCTTAGTCAGCTCTGAACAGTAAAACCGGTTTTAGTGAACTTACCTATTCTATCCTTCCCATTTTCTTCACCTCTGCCCAAGTATTTTGCTTTGCTGCACATTCAAGCTTTCAATTTTTATATATTAGATTTCTATGTTGCATCCAAAATCACCATCAAAATTTCTGGTTTTCACTATAAATTGCCAGAGAAGCTATTGTTACATTTGCGAAGATGACACCAGACATATAATTTGTAGTTCAAGATAACTGCAAAGGAAACAACTCACAGAATTCCTGAGTTCCTCTATATCCAGACTTAATCACTTTAATTCTTTAAAAAATGTAAATGGGTTTAATAGCAATATAAATTTTAAAAATAGAAGAGAAAGGAGTTAGTAGGTTATTTTTAAATGTATTTTTAGATGTAGATATGTGTACATTTCTGCATGTTAGGCCTGTATATATCTGGATCTTTCACTCCTGCTGGTATTCTTTCACTCCTGCAGAAAAACATGATTCAGATCACATATCATGATCTTATAAAATCCTATCACACTATAATTATCTAGAGTCTAACTTATCTAGTTAGACTCTTACCCATCTGGAATATTTGACTGTTTAAATTTGTCAAGCTGTGCACAAAGAACAAGGGAACCACGAAAGTAGCTGCAGAAAATCTGTCCTTAAGAGAAGGGAAAGGGTAAGCATAGCTCTTTGGTGATATCCTAGGTTTCTTACTGTTCATTACTCATTTCATGTTTCATGCAGCTTCACTTAGGGCAGGTAGAGAAAGTCATGCTGAGAGTATATAAGTGCTTTTGGTCAGCTTTATTATTGATAACCTACTTAATTCATTTACAACTATGATGTTTCTAAGGACTGAAAATACTCTATCTTTTGTTCATAAAGCTGTCCCATCACACTGTGTCATAGTAATAGTAGTAAAAAGCATTGTTCTAAGGTAGATTACATAAATGGAATCTCTCATAGGTAATTCTTTTCTCTGAAATCACATAATTAGACCTTGTAAAAAAAAATTAAATTATTTAAAAATTCCTTAAATGTACAATTTTTTTATTTTAGAACAGCACCTAAAATTGCCTGAGGTTTGAATTTATTGCAAGCATTTATTTTAAAAGAGCAACATTTTGTTCAGCTTCAATAATTAGATTGAAGTAGCTCTTCTGCCAAAATCCCCTGGTTTTACCTGTGTAGCAAATTTGACTCAAGAGGGTTAAAATAAAAAATGTTAGTAAAGTACCATTTTCTTAACATAAACTTCGAACACTTTACAAGCATCCTATGGGTGTGGTATATCAGCACTCCTCTATTAGCTCTGTTAGGAAGCAGCAACATTAGATCTTTATTCTACTGAACAAATTACACATTTTTTTTTAAAGGAAAAAAAAAGTAAGTTAAAGGAAAATGGACTAAGGAACAAGTTCCCCAGAGAAGGGGTCACAGCACCAAGCCTGCCAGACGTTCAAGAAGCATTTAGACAATGCTCTCAGGCACATGGTGTGACTCTTGGGGATGGTCCTGTGCAGGGTCAGGAGTTGGATTTGATGATCCATGTGGGTCACTTACAATTTGGCATATTCTGTGATTCTGTGAATATATTTAGAAAGAGTATAAGGATGTTTAGCTAAGGGAATAGCCCTAACTAACCTATTAGTATTAGCAGCTAGATGGTCCATGGCCATTGCTATGTAGCCAGGGCACACAGCTTGTGTGCTTCCAAAAACAGAACAGGGCCCTTGGCAGAAATCACATTTTTATTACAAAATTTACCCCCTACGTGGACTTGCAGAGCAGCTTCTTTTCAGAAGAGGTATTTAATAACCAGGCCCAGTAATAAAAATATTTGGCACCTTGACTGGACAAACCAGTTGTTCTTCCCTTTAAAGCTAAACATAAGATCACATCACATAAGAAACACATCTCCCATTTCTGCACTGTCTAGCATAAACATGCAACTTAGCTGCATTTAGCTGGCAATCATCTAAAAATTGTTAGCTAGATAACTATGTGCTCCTGACAAACTTAATGGGAAAGGTCTGTTTTGGAAAGCCCAGGCATTCTGTAGTGTACATCATCTGGTAATTGTCCCTTTCTCTAAAACAATATATCATGATCTTTTTTCTTTGATAAGTTTCCATCAGCACACAGCTCAAAGAAAATATTCTTTTAAAAACCCTTGGTGACCATATATACCTGGATATCCACAGCTGCTCAGACGAGTAAGAGAACCATGTGTATTTCTGCACACAGGGCAGAAAGTTCAACATCTGCAAAAATGAAGGTAGAAGTGCCATTAGGATGATAAAGCAAACAGAAAGGCTATCCTGCAGCAGGAGGACTAACAGACAAGACTGTTAGGAAAGTGAAATTAAATTGTTGAGAGGACAAAATTATTCTCTCTTATTATTCTCTTATAGCAAACAGACATAATAGAAGGTGACAGTTTTTTAAACTATAGGATAATACTGGCACTAGAAGAATAAACAGGATGTGAATAAATTCAGACTGGAAATAAGAATGCATTCCTAATCACCAGGGCATTTTGGATGAAAAGGAGAATGATGATGGTGAAGGACTCTAACCACTTTTAAGATCAATATGGTTATGAAACTTTTCAGATGAAGCATTGCCTGACCTAAGGACCTGGTTATATATTTGCACTTAATTTTCATGCTATTAAATGCTTTCGTTGTATAACAGTTTGGTGTCATAAACTTGTATCTTATGGGTTTAACTTGTTTTAAAGTCTGATGATGTTATAAGACAAAAAGCACATCACAAAAAGTGGTAACTTAGCTTCTGATTAAATCCAGATAGTTTTGGAGTTGTTCATCAAGGAAATGCTTTTGTAATCAAGTTACAAATTAAATTGTCATATAACTTAATGAAGAAAGAATGTAAATTCTCAAAGCCTACCCTCCCATCCCCCAGAATTGAGACTAAGGTACACTAGGTAAAAAAGTTTCAGCCAATCCAAATCTTATATGCCTATAGCAGTGACAGATGAAGTTTCTATCTCACAGGGATGCTGTGAGGTTGCGTGAGGAAATAACACACTTCAGGTCAAAACTCATGATGGGTGAGAGGACTAAAGTGAGAGGAGATGTGTAATAAATCTCACCTTTCCCTCCACTTATGACAAAAACAAGCCATTTTTCTCAATGGCTTTAGGTATGTTCTGAAATGTTGCAACAGATCAAAGAGGGAATCTTAGTAACACTCTAGCCTCAGGAATACCAAAACTATCCACACTCAACTACGATGTACCTGGGTATTACCTAGTGTGCTTTGGTACACTCAGCTATAATCTTACTTCCACACAAGAGGTTCTAGGACAAAAAGTCTTGCTGGTTATTATCTCCCCTGGACAGCCTTTAATCGCCACCTGGAACACTGAGCCTATATGCTTTCCTTCCTTCAGAAAAGCACTGTCATTCTCTTTCAGGATCCCATCACTGAAATAGAACCACCTCCAAAACTGAATACGTCCAAGGGTTGCTCCCACACAAGAGGCGCCAGGTCTTGCTGCGCTCTACCTGCCCTGGGAAGCCTTTCATCAGCCCCCGGAGCACTGGGGTACACGCTTTCCTTCCTACGGAAGAGCATCGCTGTTCTCTTCCATCACCGGAACAAGGGTGCCACCTTCCACAATGAATACCATTGCTCCCGCACAAGAGGAGCCAGGACACAAAGGTCTCGCTGGTTATGGTTCAGCAGAGCGTGGAGCGAACATGGCTTTCTCAGCCAGTTTGAGCGTTGCACGCCCATAACCACGCCGCGGTGGGTTGCAGAGGTTCCCGACACAAGATAAGGACCCGGGAATCCCTCGGCATTCCCAGGCTGTCTGGCGGCGCAGCAGGACGGGGATGGCACGGCTGGCGCGGGGCAGGGACGGCGGCGGCCGCCAGAGGGCGCGGCGGTGCCGCGCGGGGCGGTGCGCGCGGCCCGGCATGCACCGCGGCGGCGTTTGAATGGCGCAGGCTCGGGGCGCCGGGCCCCGGCAGTAGCGACCCTGCGCGTCCCGCCGATCCCAGCGAGCCCGCCGATCCCAGCGATCCTGCCCGCGGCCCGGCCCGGGACCATGAGCAGCGGGTGAGTGGGGCGAAGGAGCGCGAAGGTTCCCGGGGCCGCCGGCCTTGGGGAGCGTAGCGGGGCCGCGCCGTACCCCGCCGGCCGCGGGTGCGGCTCGCAGACACCGCGCCGGGAGTGCGGGCCGGCGGCGGGTGCGCCCATCGAGCCCTCCCGCTCCGTCCCGCTCCGTCCCACTCCGTCCCGCTCCCCGGCGGCTCCTGCCCGGCCCTGTGCGGTGCCCGCAGCCTCCGCCGGCGAGGTCTGGCACTTTGGGCGTTCTCTAAGATGGTGCCATGAGCCCCGGCACGGAACGAGCGTGTGCAGTGGCAGATACGTGCCAGGAGAGCGAGGAAGACAACAAGCTGGGTGTAAGGCCTGCTGACGGATTTAATTTCTTGGGTGTGACAGATTCCAAGGAGGAAAGGGGGGAGGGGGTGCGGGGGAATCTTCTCTGCTTGAAGATCAGATCCTGCATTAATTACTTTGTTCAAAAGCCCTTACATTTATTTCCTTTTTCAGTGTTGTGCTGGAGTAGTTTGGCGTGCAGATCTAAAATGACGTTTTGAATAGGGAGACTTATTAAGGAGAGAGATTTGAAGGTAGTTTTAGAAACCTATTGTTTCTGGTTTTGAAACATGCCCTGCTTTGAAGCTTTCTTCCATCTCTTCTTGGATCATGAGTTTTGCATTTCCCACTTTCTTGTTTTGTCTTTTCCGTGGTTGAAATCAGAGAAATAAATTAAAAAAAAATAGTTACCCATATTTAGTAAAATTAAAGCATAACAGAAGGCAGTCTAGTGCCTCTTTGGCCTTGCTGATTGGAAAGAACATCTTGTTCTTGTCAAAAGATATCACTTTAACGTTTTATTAACAGGGCATGTAGTATTGATTGAAATTTCTATGAAGTTATTTCATTGAACTTAAATTTCCATTTATTTGAATTCTTCAACTTTATAACTCTGGGTTTTATTGTAATATATTTAAATAATATTAAGGTATTTATATGTGTATACTAAAAATATATATATGAGTATTGCAATACATAATTATTATTATATAGTAGTGTAGATATATGCTCTTACCCAATTTTGAATCTTCTCTTTTCAATCAATTTTCATTGTCATAATTTAAATAAGCTTTTTTTTTTTCTAATTTTAACAGTGAGTTGGTCCCAGGGTAATGAGCTTGCCTATAAATTAAGAAAGTTTTTTAAATAGTGTAAAGAGATTATAGTCACTAATAGAAGTGTATTTGATGGTAACATGGGAAGTCATGTGAAATGTCGTCACAGACTGTTCAGTCAGGTGGGGATGCCTCCTCTAAGTGGACCTTGGGGGTTTTTGAATATGTGTTTCTCTGGATTTGAATTCAAAATTCTTGCTGCAGTTTTTTTAAGCTCTTTGGATTGAGCAATAAATTAAAAAAATATATTTAATTTTGTGTAAAAATATTAATGTGGGAGTTTCAGTGTATTGGAAACTTATTTTCTATATAGCAACTCTCAGATAATGTTATAGAACTTTTGCAACCTTATTATGTCTAGAGTGTTCATAACTGAAAATGAACAGGTAAAGATATCTTTTCATAAGCAAAGGATGACTTTAGGAAGGACTAAACCACTGACAGCTACTGTTACTTTATGGCACCTTAAAAAATCTGTAAACTGTACCTCCAAATGCAGAAAATTGGGTACTTGTTTGACTTTTTTTTTTTTTCCCCCTCTCTAGAAAAGGTGAATAAGGTTCAGTTATTAGATTCTTGGGCTATCTCCACAAGGAGAGCTAATGCACACCTTGGTTCACCCTCGCTCAGCTTGAATGAACGTCTGGTCATTTTTGGACATTCATTATGGTTGCCAGTGGGCCACATATAAATTCCACGTGTAAGAGGAAAATGAACCTAAACCTTAGGTATAAGCTAACTTACCATAATTAGTTACTCAATTAAGCTTTGTATTTACTGCATATTTAACAAAATTCCTGTGATTATTGTCAACACAGGAAACTTTAAACTGGAACAAATGACCTGACAGGTATTACACATTAAAAAACTGTACCCTGCTGGCCTATTAGGCACTTTTTATCAAGTCACAGACAAATTTTGCAGTAACATACTCCTTACAATCTTGAACTCCACTTTCTTTTTTGAAGAGAATTCAGTATTTAACACCTGGTGAACTGTATATTCAAAGGATATGGAAGCCTCCCAAAATAGAATGTTACAGATGGATTCTGTAACATTTGTCAGAAGTTTGTCAGTTAAATTATGCCAGGCTTACAAAATCACTTCTACTTCATAAGATAGTGCTAATTTATTTTTGTAGACAAATTACCCTTTCGGAAGTAAATTTAAAATAACTTCTTGAAAGTTTCTTGGACATTTAAAATCTGATAATGACCAGAGAAATTAGTTGACCATTACTGGTTCCCTGATGTATACCTCACTGGGATGAAATTCATTCAAAGCATGAACTCCCCTCCTTCAGAGTCACAATTTATTTACTCTTTCCTCTGAGTTTAATATTGTCACCCTTGAACTTGAGTTAATAAGGAGTGGGGAGAATCACAGGAACATTTGCAATGGCTGGTGCACATAGAACAATACAGGAAAAAGTAACTACTAAGAATTTGGTCAAAGAATAGGATGGAAGAATGTTGGTTTTAAAAGATATCTCAGAATAGCTGAGATATCCAGCTATTTTATGTTTTCTTTACTGCCATGCAAAGTATTCCAGTCTATGTTCTATAAGAAAATAATGTTATGTTAATACTTGTGTAGATTACATAACATGCCGAGAAGAATTTGTCCCTCTGTGGGGGCCATGCCCAGAACATAGGATGGGAGGGAGTGGCAGAGTTGTTAATACTTGCCTTTGATAAATATGCACTAGAAAGCCTATTAGTGCTGACTTTCTTTACTTGATTCTGGTATGGCTTGAAGAGCTGTATTGCATATGGAGAGATCAGAGATAGAAAATAGCAGAAGAACCATCAAGAAAACTTTGCACAGGTGGTGTTTATTGACTGTGGAAACAAATCAGCTTACCTGTCAGGATATATGGCTGCTATTATTCTAGTGCTGCTTTATGAAAATTGAGAACAAAAGGGGAAGAAGAGAAGATTGTCATCTGCTATGAGAAATCACCTATGTGATGGGGGAAATCGGTGTAATTTGAACTTACCATCTTAATGAAATCGTCCATCTCTGTTCACATTTGCAGTCTGCTTTGTTATAGTTGTAAAACAATTTAGGATTGTACAGCAGATTAAGGCAGAGCTGAACGAACATGTGTTCTACCCTTAGTTTAAAAAGTTTTATAAAGTGGAACACTTGCATTAGCCTTGCTGAGATGGTATAAAAGGTAGTTGAACAAATACCATTAGCTATGCTCATCACAACGGTAAAATCAAAAATTAAAAACTTTGAGGTATATGTTTTTTGACTTGGTACAAATTAGTATCTAATGTCAGTTTAAAAACCTTCTGTATATATCCAAAATAACTGAGGGCTGTAGTGTCTAATTAGCTATCCCTAGATGGCTATCCCTATCTGGTAGCAGATAGGAAAGTTGTGAAGAGCCTTGTAAAGTCTTTCATCCTGTAGCATTCTTCTTTTTAACTGCTGGCCAGCTCGCATTCTGTTAGGTGTTACTAAACTTTTGGAAGCTGGTTTCTTAAGTTATTGACTAAGTTTATTATAGCACTGTTTGATTTGTATATACTAAATTCTTCTGCTTGTGTTCTGCTCTGTCTGGACTACCTGGATTGTGTATCTGAATTTAATCACTTTCAGTCTATTTCTTTTTTTTATGAATTTGCACAGTCTGTCCTGGAACCCACCTAAACATTTGGGTCCATGATATCCTGTGGCAAGTTCAGCTTGATTATAATTTGCAAAAAGAGCTGCCCTTGTTTATTAGTTTTGAACCAATCTTCAGCTATTGTCTTTTAACCCTTTATTCTTATATTGGACAAGACAGTGAACAATCTCTGTGCAACTTCTTTGAGCCATTAATTTTGTAGTTCATTGTCTTATTTTCCCTTTCAGCTATAAGTAGCCTCCACCAGATATAAGTAGCCTTCACAACACATTAAAAAGGCTCATCTATTCAGTTGTTGATTTTATGATAGTTATTCCATACTTTTTTTAACTTGCCTTTGTCTGAGCTCCTTTTTATTTTACTCGGAAGGTTTTTTATTTTGGGGGGTTGGGTTTGTGGTTTTTTTAAGGAAAAAGAATTAAACCTGCACTCAGTATTTCAAACAGAGGCACAAATTAGTTCTATGCACTGTCACTGTTCTGTTTGGTTTTCCAATGATTTATTGATCCGTATGGAGCACTGAGCAGTCCAAATGATTTAAATTAAACTGCCATATATCCAGATCTTGTGGGTGACAGTTACTAGCTCAGAGCCTGTAATTCTATGTAGGAACCCAGAATTTCCTCATGGCTGCAGACACACAGACTTTGCTTTATATTAATCTATAGTCATTGCTTCTGCTTGATTGTACGTCAGTCCTTCTCTAATTCTTCAGTTAGCCCTCATCTTCACAGTGTGGTGTGACTTTGTATTGTCAACAGTCTTCATCAATTAACTGCTCCTTCCCTTTATGGCGTAACTTATGAATATATCAAAGAGCATAAACCAATGCAGATTTTCTGCAGGGATCTGGAGGTGACTTTCCACAGTGTGGAAACCACTTAGACAGTTTATGGCTGTTCCTTAAGTATTACTCCATGCTAAAGCTTTCCCCCTTATCACTTGGAAGCACAGTTTCCTCCAGATTTAAGTGAGGGACTTGTGAAAGCTTTTTGGAAGCTCAGGTAGTCTTTATCATTCTGCTGTCCTTTATCCATATTGTACTACCACATACTCTTGATAAATGCCATTAGTTTTGGAGGGCAGGACTTCATAGAGTCATAGAAAGATTTGGGTTAGAAGGGACCTTAAAGATCATCTAGTTTCAGTTCCCCTGCCATGGCCAGGGGCATGACCAGGTTTCTCAAAGCCCCATCTAACCCAACCTTGAACACCTCCATCCACCACTTCTCTAGGAAACCTGTTCCAGGGTCTTACCACTCTCACAGTAAAGAATTTTGTCCTAATATCCAATCTAAACCTACCCTCTTTCAGTTTGAAGCCATTCCTCCTTGGCCTATCACTAAAAGCTCTTGTAAAAAGTCCCTCTACAGCTCTCTTGTAACCCTTCAGGTACTGAAAGGCTGCAGTGAGGTCACCTCAGAGCCTCGTTTTCTCCAGGCTGTGTTGCCTTCATGACAGCCAGGTTGAAAATCTTTCCCAGTGTGTTATTTGTTTGTGTCCACTAAGTCTATTCTTGATTACATTGTTCACTAATTAGCACAACAGAGATGTCAGTCTGGATCTTCCTTGAGGCTGTCTTTAAATATGGACTTTATTTTCCACATGATATCTTTAGGTGCTTCGTCAGCTCCAAGGGAGAAGTTCTGCACCTTGGCTAACAACACAGCTATTTTATTACTGCTTATATATTCACTGATGCTTCTGCATGATCTAAGACCCTCACAAAACAGGTTAAACTGTGGAAGACTCTTCTATATACATAAGAATTCTACTTTGCTTCATCAGATGTTCCTTTATATTTGATCATCTGTTGGCCTTTTTTGGGTTTCTGTTACCAGTCTTTAAGGAAATAATTGGTAGGTCTGTTGTCTCTTCCTGTTTCAACTGGAAGGCTGGAGGGTAATATGTTCTTAGATCACATTTGTCAAAGAGTGTAATTCTCTTAATTTTTCTTCTTGGACATGGAACTTTTGCTAGAGAACTTCCTCCCCTCTAGGGTCCTTTCTCTCCAGTTCAGATACCTCCAGTTCAGGTATTTTGAGACATATCTAGGTATTTTGAGGTATTTTGAGATGTTGCTTTAGGCTCTTTAGAGCCCAGTATTGAATAGTGATATTTCCTCAGTAAGACATTTATTTCTAACCTGATATTTTACACTTCTATTAAGTAAACGGCATTCTAGTTATACAGTGCTGTCTTCTTTATTGGCGACCAGATTCCTGTGTACTGCTTAGCGGGAAAGAGGAAGGAGAAGTCAGCGTTAGGCATGAAGAATTGTAAGCTGATAGTGTGTTAAGGGAGTAGTCAGAAAAATTATTCTTCAGGTACAGAGATTATGGCTTTTTTTAGCTTCTGATGACATGATCCTGTGGGGTTTAGCTCTGGTGGCTGCAGGTTGCCCTCTCTGTTCTTTTGGAGTTTATTGCTTTCCCCTCAGCTTTATTCTCAAAAAGGGGATGCAAAAATACCAAGATTTTTCCAAGTTCTCCTACCTTTCTGCCTTCATCATTGGCCTGAATATAAGGCTTGAATTGTTTGGATTTTAGGGTTATTGGGTTGGGATTTTCTTCATAAGTTCAGTTGTTCAGCATATGCCTTTGTGTTATGCTCTAAGTTCAGATTTTAATGTAGAGCCAATTTTGAGTCCAAATGGTTTTAACTAACTAGTCTGATAAGCAGAGGAGAAGTTGTTTTGGTTTTGTCGGGTTTTTTTCTAAACTAAATAGCAAAAAAACCCTTTTTACTATTTATTTATAGGCCTGGTGTAGAAGAACTACAAATTGGAAGTGTAGAGAATTAACTGTGATAACTATTCTGTTATAACCGTCCCATAGGGTGGAAAAGAGTCAAGTTAATGAACCAGTATTAAGCCAACCTTATATCTGGAAAAGTATTGACCACTAACTGTCTCGTCTTAAATAATGCTACCATTTGCAATGCTTGCTGTAGTCTGAGGGCTCCATGTTCCCGTCTTACAGGGTAAGGGATTCTGTCAGTAAATCTTCCCTTTTTTGAGAGAGATCTCAAATGAGATTCTTTAGTACTGATCCTGTTATAAAGAAAATTGAAACATTTGGGGAATTCTTTTTCTTTGCTCCAGTGTACCTTATAATATGGATTTTAATATGCCTTATGTTTAGAGTACAACTTCTATCTTGTTTTGAGCCTGCCACCTGCTTATTTTATTTGATGGCCTTTAGCTGCTTTATGGAAGGATCTTCATCGCTAATAAGCTGTTTCCCATCTGGCTTTTTCAGTGCTCAATGTCTTAGTGTTTTAAATACTGAAGTTCTTAATGTGGGATAAATCTGCTACATAAAAGAAAAAGAATAAGGCTGTTGCTAAAGGTGGAGGGGACAAATTAGACTCATGTTGGGACCAGACTTTTACCTTTCAGAGGAAAAAACAATAATATTAGGGGAAGTTGTTGTCTTTTAGAAGTAGTATAAAATGTCTTGCTGAAACATTTTAAGAATAGTGCTCCATGATGACATAGTAGTTGAATCCAGTCTCAAGCAATGGATTTTCTGATCACTTCCGAAAAATGCAAAATCATATGTACAAGTGTCTCAATCTTGGTGTTGATTCTTGTAGAAATAATTGCATAATTCCAGAAACAAAGTACTTGAAACATAGAATAATGGGGTTTAGTATGAAAAATAGCCAAAGTCATATATTGAAAAAAATGGGCAGAGGTGCATTTGCCCATAAATTAACCTTTGTTATTTTGATGAAGTTTGCCTTCTTACTGAAAAAAATAATCATTTTTTTAGCTACTTTTCTCTCTTGGCAGCAGTTGTGGGACTAGTTATTTTTCTCTAGTCAGCAGATGAAATTCATAGTCTGAGGAAAGAGTCTCATAAATTACTTTATTCTTTACTTGAATTTTTGCTCATATGGCACCCCTCAGTGCAAGTGTACACAAAGCTAGTCTGAAAACAAGATCTCTGTTTCTTGGGGTGATTTTGGGTTTGTGTCCCCTTTTTTTTTTTTTTAAAGCTAAATAGGGATTATGAAATGCTAATCACCACTAATGATAAGGCCTCCAGCTAACATTTGCTGAAGGATGATGTCTTCAGTTATTTATATGATGGAAGATCTTGCAAATAATTGAATTCTTTTGCCTAGTTTTGCCAGCTGCATTTGAAGAAAGTTGACTGCATGTTTTAGAAAATTTAACTAAACTATAACTAAATATCTTTCCCTTGAGAACAGGGATTTGAGAGATTATGGCATCTGAAGCTCACAATGTTAAAAACCAGAAAGTATTGCATATCGAAGGTCATCCAGTTGATCTCCGCAGAAAAGGAATCTCTTCTTCCACTAAAAAGATCATGAAGGAGGTAAGCTGGTTGTAGCGCTTGTTGGGTTTTTTAATGTCCCCTAATGAAACTGAAGTAAACGTTCAAACAAGTTTGTAGTTCTGAGCAGTCTAGAACCAGAAGCAGAGCACTACTCGGCACTTCATGTTTAGATAATAGAACTTCAGCTTGAACAGCAATTACATTATGAAAACTATGTGTTACAATAGACACAGGCAGTGGCTGCACTCACAAGTGCGTTGTATCATCCAGGTGAGCAGTAGGTACTGATACTGTTTTACTGATACCTGCTTTTGTGCAATCTAGCCAAGAATGTTTAAGTACAGGAATTCTGTCATGAGAGTTCTTTCTTGCCAAGAGAGCTCTTTGGCACAAGTGGGAGGTGAAGTAGGTGAAACACCTGCATTGAAATGGATCTGTTGTCTTATTATCGTACAGCTTGATCTACTGCATTGTCTGGTGACACGTATATTTTCACTGAATCCTTGCTATTCAAAACCAGTTTTTATAACCTCTTACCTGTGCTACTGGCTGAAGAGTAAGGCAGTGGAGTAAAGAGGTAAACTCACTGTAAAATCTATTCAAACAGTGGTGAAGGTGCCAATATCCTCTATGTATTAATAAAAAAGAACAAAACATTGTTTTGCTGATGTGCACAATATAAATGTTACTATTAATGTTAAGCAGTATAAATGGAAGTCCTTAGGCGTTTTTAGTGATAAAGCTTTTTTTCTTCTCTGTTGCCTTTCTCCCAGGGTAAGAAATCTCCAAAACAGCTGGCTTCATACACAAACAGGTAGGAAGGCTGTGCTCTGTAGTATCTGAGTTTCAAGTGCAATGGAGGTAGGGAGGAAGAAGTGGTTGTAAACCACCACAACACCAGAGCAGACGCAAATGGAAGAGAGGTCTTGATTTTACTGACAGTTCGTGTTTCTTGTGTTCCCTTCCATAATAATAAATCTCTGCATTAATATAAACAGAGAAGAATATTGGTGACGTTACTTCTAATAACCCAATTGTTGCGAAAGTATATACTGGAGGGGAAAAATGTTTTCAATAACCTGAAAGTTGACTACTGAATTCATAATAATATGTTTTAACTTAATAATGTAAAGTATTGATTAGGTTTAGAGCAACCTTTACTAAAATACTGCTTTATTATTGCAGAATAACGGTTGGAAAAACGGTGACCAGTCCCCTCTCTCTTTTCAAAGTGGTATATTGTAAAAGAAAAGTTCATTGTTATACTCCAAAGCCTTGTTATAGAAAGAAACTGTGCCCTAAATCTAGGGGCCGTGACATGGCAAATAAAGAAAATGAACTGGCTTGTGCAGGGAATCTGCCAGCAAAACTTCACAACAGTCGTACACACTTGCTAAATTCTAGTGACTCTGGCTCATCTCAAACAGAAGGCCCCTCATCCAAATACAGTGGATTTTTTTCAGAGGTAAGTAAAGTTTGAAGAAACTTTAATTTATAATAAAAGTATTCCTGGGGTAGTTAGCTTTGAAAGTTTTCATACAGATTAATTTTCTTCAATTATTTAAATTTCAGGTCTTGTGATTTACAGTCACTGTCTGTCAATTTATGGTGATACAGTTGTCAACAGTAATAGTCCTGCCAGTTTTCCCCACCTCTGTGTCAGAAGCTCAGATCTGCCAGACTAGACTGTGTTAAAATTGTTAAAATTGTACCACCACCAGGAAAACATTGTTTTGACTTGGTTAGGTTTCATGGTCTGGCTGAACACATGGCCATGTACATGTTTATGGAAGCGTGAAAGTGTATCAATGGCAATAAACTGGTGAGGTAGGCTTGGACAATTTTCAGTAGCAGTATCAACTTTGTGTGTGTGAAATTAACTGGAGTGTTTGTGTAAGGCTGTATTTCCTGTTAAGATTGCTTGAGGAAATGTAATAGATGCTTGCAGGGCAAGCATCCCAAAACTGGCTAAAAGGTCATATATTTAAATGAAATGGGTTTTTTGGCAGTGAAGGCCGTTTAAGTCCCTGAGGCATGGCAGGGAAGATGAGATCAAAACTGTCACCATGCTGTGTCTTCATGGTGCTGTTAGTGTGGGCTTCTATGAAGAGAGAGCCTTGAGAGTCTGGTGGGTTGAAGGTGCAAGTCTATTGTATCCTGCACTGTTCAATCTGATAGTTTCAGGAAAGGAGGAGCAGAATAGCTGCCTACAGTTAGAGAGGTTGTAGAAAGAAGGCTAAGGAAATGAAGACTGGATAAGATTCATTCTCTGAGAAACTAAGGACCAGATCACTGAACACAGATTACTGCTGAACTGGTTTGGGAGATGTGTATGGCTCTGCAATATTCGTTCCAATCCAAGGTCTGTTTAATAAAATATCTGAACTTTGTTCAGAGAACAAGCTTTTTTCAGAAATGAACCTTTTCTGTCAGAATTTAGAATGTGTAGTTACTTGTGTCTAAACTGTGTCAAGATGATTAAATTAAAAATCTGAGTAAAAAGTTCTAGAGTTCATAGGAATTACAGTGTGGTGCTCGTGAATGCTCTATTTAATTATTAGATACCTCTCTTTAGGTGGTAAAGAGATACGAACCTTATTCTTGTAGCTTTTGTGTAAAGTAGGTTTAATATTTTTGTCCCCTTGTAAGGGACAAGGGGACATGGGCTCAAGCTCTGCCAGGGGAAGTTTAGGTTAGATGTTAGGAAAAAATTCTTTACAGAGAGGGTGATCAGGCATTGGAACGGCCTGCCCAGAGAGGTGGTGGATTCACCATCCCTGGAAGTTTTTAAAAAGAGATTGGACATGGCCCTTAGTGCCATGATATAGTAATTAGAGTTGGATCAGGGGTTGGACTTGATGATCTTGGAGGTCTTTTCCAACCCAATCTATTCTATGATTCTATGATTCTATGAAATTTGTGGATTTAAGACCATTGCTATCTAAATTTCTAAAACAAACTCATCAGCATAGAGGTAGAAAAGTATATTTTCATATACTAGATTATTATAGTAGAGCAGCTTATTGTGTTATTTCTGGCTACTTAACTTGTGGCAAACTTCTTTTATATTTTCAAAAACATACAGGTTTCTCAGGACCATGAAACTATGGCTCAAGTTCTTTTCAGCAGGAATCTGAGGCTGAATGTAGCTTTAACCTTTTGGAGAAGGAGAAGTATAAGTGAACTGGTAGCCTACTTAGTGAGGTAAATTAAGTGTCTCTTTTATGCTCTTAAAATAATAGCAATCCCAAATCTGCTGCAGTATTTTCAGCAGTTCTTTAAATGTTGCAACTTTGTAATACTTTTGAAATCATAGTGGAAGCAAATACTTTGGTAACATTTCTGATTTTATTCTTAACGTTTCTAGGATACAAGATCTTGGAGTAGTAGTAGACTGCCTTCCTGTGCTTACAAACAGGTACAAACAAACAAAAAAGTGGGAGTTTAGAATCTCCTATAACAAAATTGGAGTTCAAGCACTTCTGAAACATCTTGTTTTTTAAGTTTACAGGAAGAAAAACCATATGTTTCAGTTGGCTGCTGTGTAGATCTTTTGCCTTTAGTGAAATCTCTGCTTAAAAGCAAATATGAAGAGTAAGTATCAATTCTGGAAGTTTTCAAAACACTTATTACTTCCTGGCTGTGCAGAGCCCTGGAAATTAGTGTGTTTTAGTCCTCTGACTCTTGTTCCCTCTGCTTTACCTTTCTCAGGAATGCCTACCAGAGGGGAAGCTTTCCTGTGAGCTTTTATCCTTTAACAAACTAGTGGTGCAAAAACTTTTCTACAGGGTTAAGGACATGGGGGAGAGGACTGGTTTTGCCCTTATGCAAATTTATTTATCCTAAACAGTGAAACAGACTAACACTAAGTGTTTAGTATGCTTTATAACATAAAATCACAGGCAAAATACCAGAGAAATGTCTACTTTTTAAACAAGAACTTCAGTTTACCACTTAGAAATGGCAAATGTAGGCAAGTATTTAAACTTGCTTATTTGTCTAAATTTTTCTTCTTCCAGAATAGCAAATGTGTTGCTTTCTTATTTGCTTGCCAATTTATCTTGACACTTTATCTGACCAGTAGATACTGTATGTGGAAGATTAAGTTCATAATGTGTAAAATATGTTGTTACAGATATGTGATAGTTGGTTTAAACTGGCTTCAGGCTGTCATTAAAAGATGGTGGTCAGAACTATCTGCACATACAGAAAAGGCAGAGGATGGGTGAGTACAGTGTTGGGAAATATTTAAATGTGTTTCTATGGCTTATTTCATCTCAATGTTTTAATTTTGATCAGTAGGAGCACACCTTGGCTTCAGAAGACAAAATTATACTCATAATTTGAAAGTAAAAGCTTAAAAGTACTTAAAAGTAGTTCTATTCTTAAGACACAGTGTTTGGAAGCTTACTTTAAGGATAACACAAGTTTTTGGGGTTTGTTTTTGTTTAAGTTTCTTTTTACTGGTGTTTTAGTACATGTAGAACGTAGTCATATCAGGGGTTATACAGATGCTGTAGAAGTTGGATCAAAATTTTTCAGATCTTGTGGCAATATCTATTGTATAGGCTAATGCATTTTAGTCAAAAAGGCTGCTGAAATATACTACATACGTTATAAAGTGTTGTTCATTCTTTTTCAGAAATATTCATATTTTAAAACAACAACTGAGTGTTTTATGGGAACAGGAGAATCGTCTTACTCTGGTTCCTGGATATACTGGTAGTATAGCTAAGGTAATTCAGTTCCAGTTGTGTTCAGTAGCAAACAAAGTTGTATCACTTGCAGTATTCCTGTTGTTTTATTTATGCTAAACTGTGGATGGATAGAAATAACTTTGCTTAGTTTCCACTAATGCTTAAGTGTATTGCATGATTTTTACAGAAGTCTGGAGTGGATTCCCTATGATAGTAATAGTGTGGTTTAGAATGCTAATAATTACTTTTTTTATCCTTTTTCTTTACAGAGGAAGCATCTCCTTAATAACAAAGTAGCTAATAGTAACAAGCCTTAAAACTGATGTAAAAAAGGGCTCAAATGAGTAGATAGACTGTGGAAAAGACAGATGTTTTCTCTGAAATTTGTTGTACCCATGGTTGTAAGTGTGAGGCAGAATAGAGAATCTTAGCCCAAGGAATGTCATTAGTATTTGCACATCAGGTAACAGGGGCAAGTGATGACATACTAAATTCTAAAGCTTATTGCTGACCTAATGTTTAGAAATTCATGAGCTTGTGGAGAGCAGAAGAGCATATCTATCTAAGCCAAATCCCTGTTTACCTTTCTCAGTAGGTTGTGGTGTCAGTAATATAATGAGGGTGTCTGGTAGATGCATGTTTTGCTGCTTGTTCTCATCTCTAGTAACGTGGCTTTCTGAGTTTGGGTACCAAGAGTTACACTGAGCAAGAAACCTCTCCATTTGGAGGTAGACAAGTGAGAAAGGCCTTACAGCAGACACTTGGTTAGTTGTGTGTAGGATTTGAGTGAACTTGAAAAGAACTTACCATCTTTTACTTACATCTTAAGGAGTTTTGTGGAATCCGTAATTCTATGCCTACAGAATTGGTCTATTTTGATGTATCAAACACAAGAGAAGTTATATCTTGTTTTTCTGGGACTGCTGTGCACCCATGACTTGTGAGTTTTGGTGTCCCTACAAGGATAATTAAGAGCTCCTTGCAGGGTTTGTCAGCAGAGATGCAGAATAACTGAGGTCTAACTCCCAACTGGTAGATCTGATATTGACTGCCTAGTTCTTCTGCTAGGTCGACATAACAGCTAGTGTCAGTTTGTTTCTCTAGGATTCAGGTTCCCTTTATGTGGATATATACTGGATAGATTGTGGCCATGGTCACCTGAGAGAGTCAGGAGCAAAACCAGTACAAGAATGTTGGAAGGATTGGGTACAAGAATGTTGGAGGGATTGGGCAAAAGAATATCACGCTTGAAATGTTTAAACTACATGATTGGATGATGATGATGATCACTGCTGTGTATGCAGGGAGCAGAGGGATAACAGACTAAATTGCTAGCTTTGTAAACTAATCCTGCTGTTCTTGCAGGCTTTTTAGTAGATAAAGACAGTAATTGAAAGTAATTTTGAAGATAACTTAGTCTGAAATTTGGCCAAATATAATTATTCTTGTGTTATGGTCTTGACTGGTTACTTTGCTTCAGACATAAGAGTTGATATTACAGCTATAAGTAATGTGACAAACACTTTCTCCTTTTTTTTTTTTTTCCTTCTAGGATGTAAATGCTTATTTATTACAGCTACACTGACATGATTGAGAAACTATGTGTGCTTATGTGGTGAAACAATCCCCTAAAGTATCCCTGAAATACGTACTGAAAGCCTTTTGAGAAATACTGGCAGAAGAGAACTGAACTGTCAAGCTGTTTAATGAAACCACTAACAAAATCCTAGCAATCTACTTCACATTGAAGTGGAAAAATGTCTAGTAGGAGCAACTTTTACTTCAGTGAGGTGAAAGTGCACTATGAAAACTGTATGCCTTTGCTGCATTTGGGATTCACTCAATTACTAGGTATTCATTTAAATGCTACTGTATTTTCCTACAACACCGCATAAAAGAAGATGAATTATACTGTCATGAAGGCAAGACAGCAGAACCAGTTATAAGGAACCAACAAAAGCAATCAGCATTAAGAGCTTTTAAATGTCTCTCACAAGAGAACTCCAAAATGCACAACTATCTTCCAATTACATTAAAAACCCAACTTTGGGATATTCAGTTACTTCTGTGTTTTAATCAAATTATTAAAGACAATTTTTGTTTGCACTAAATAGAAACTATACAGCAAAGATGCCTTAATTACTAGTGTTTTGAAAAACCAATGTGTTAAGATGCAAATAGCTATTATGTTCAAGATTGTGATGAAAAACTACAAAAAATCAGGGTTTCACATTGTGTAGTTAAATATTGCACATATACAAAGATTCATGTATGAAAAAATATTATAAATACCTGAAGTTAAGCTTGGATAAACAGTTATTGCAAATGTCAGCAGAATGGTGAATTTATGTCTAACAAATGTTTTTATATTGTATGTGGATTTCTAACACAGTAATCTTGTTCTGTATCATTTAAACTACATGCAAATAAGTAAATACATTAAATATATCTACTGTTTTTTTCTTTTCAAGTTCAAAAAAATACCAATTTCTAGAACCTGTTCCACAGTACTTTTTATCATAGATATTTATGTCTGTTGTTTGAAATGTTTACAGCCAGGTGAGGCCATGTTATTCAAATCACACCCTTTTTATACTACCTCCTTTAAGAAACTGACAAAGAGCTTTTGCAAAATCAAGTTCTAGCCTGATCAGTGATGGCAAATTTATACCAAGAATAGCTTTGAGAATACAGCTATAAATTCTTTTGCTGTCATATTGCTATGCTGTTTTATTTTAAAAGCTATAACTTAATAGCTCTGAGGGAGTCTTGATTTTAGGCTTGCTGTTGCCTTTTTTAATTTTGTGATTAGGAAGAATGTGTTTTCAATTAAAACTTATGAAGTGCCAGCTCTTTACTTAAAACATAGATATACATGCACAGCATGTATGACCAAATCTACTTTCTTAGAAAATTAAGTACTTACCAGGGTTGTTCTCATACTAGCATTAAGCATGTGCACTTTTATTGCTGTGCAGGAGAAGAGTCTTTTGATAGCCCCAAGTGGTTTTTGCTTTTCAAATTAAATAAATGAATTTAAAACTCTTGTAGTGGTCAATAACTTTAGGCCTCCCAATGCTTCATTTTGTATTTAGTTAACATATTGTAATTACATTATTGCTGACTCCTAAAGGCCAACTAGAAATCTGTCATCAGAACTTGGTGCTTTTGGTTATTTGAATATGCTGTAAACCACCAAAGGTTTTGCACTTCCCAGGGCAGTCAGTTGCAGAGAAAAGTTTCTGGGACATGCCAAAACCAATAACTTTGTGGGACAATCTGGAGACATGCGCATAGCCAAATTATTTTTGCTAGAGTTGTTAGTTATTATTAGAGATATTTCATGCTCAAAAAAGTTTGAGATAGAACTTTTCAAATGTTCTTGCTGTCAATTAAAAATTTAAAGAAACTACAGTATGACAACATTCTTGTATTACTTTACTGTTCTGTTGAGCAATTAAATGTAAAAGTAACATAGAGTCTAGCTTCATAATTTGGGTAGTAATTGCTGAAGCTCTTAGATTATTCCTCAAGGAGAATACTCTAAAGATAATGGAAACTTGGATCTTTTCTCTTGTGTTTTTTTTAATAGACAAAATAAAGTAACTCAAGGCCATTTACTTCTGATAATAGAAGTAATAATTGTAATTGATTAAAGGGATACCCTAGTACTTAAAAAACCGGTTTGACTGTAGATGTAAATACATGGGCTTATAATGAATTCTGTGTGTGGCCATGGAGTTAGCAAATCATAACTGTGGATGGTGCTTTTGTTCTATAGGCAAGGTAAGATTGACTTGAGGATCATTATTGAGGAATTACTAATAAAATAGTGCATTCTTTTTAACTGCCAAAAGTTGTATTTTGACAGCATCAATAATACAGTATTAAACATTAAGTCGGTATCTGTGCCTTATTTTAAATGAATTTTCTTACTGTTTTCAGGCAGCTACTAGACTGTAAGAACAGGATTCTGATGTCTCCATTATGAAATGATTTTACTGTCATGATCTTAATTAATTGAAGCTGTTCACACCATATTCAGGCTCAGATTCTTGTATTCTCTTTAGTTCTCAAATGGCTAGGAATCAGTTTTACTGTTACAGAATGTACATGTATAATGCCTCGTCAAAGGACATGAGTAAAATGTCTTAATAGCTGCATAACTCCATAAATTCCATATCATTGTCTCAGTAAATCCAAGGATTAAGTTTATGAACTATCATATGCATAAATGCTATCATGTGATACCTTCTGAAAATGCTGTTTCTAGGATATGTCTTAAGAATCAAGCAGAATTAATCCTTTTCCTGTGTGTTCCTGTGATGCAGAAGCACGTATGTACTTGAGGATGAAGGATTCCTCCACAAAGCTGTTCTTCATGTTACACTACGTGATGTGAAATTAATGTCTTTGAAAAACAATGTGTCTTTTGCCTCGGTGTCCCCTGAAAATACTTGAGGCTGTTTTGTTGAAAGAGTACTTATTTGAAGTGTGACCCAGGACTTACTTATCCCCTAAACTGAAACTGGAGAATCCTTCTGGCAATCTCTCTCTTTCTGCAGGCTAAGGGAAAAAAAAATCCAGTGTTTCATAACTGTAAGAGTCAAAGTTTAGGTATTGCTGAGAGCTTGCTGAAGAGTGGAGATAAAAAAAGCTACCCCATTAATTAGCTGGATAAGAAGTTAGCATGTCTTAATGATTATGTGTGTCTCTGTTTTGAAGGAGTTACACTTACTTCTCAGTAAAGAGTGCTCTCATATCACACAGGTAGTGCAGTTTTAGGCTACTTAATAGTGCTTACAGATTGTTGCTGGTATTAAAAAATTTAGCATTAGCCCTCCAGGTGCTTACCTTCTGCAGTGAGATATAAAGAAAATGATCTCTCCCTTCCTGTAGGCTACTTTACTGTTATCACAATTTTAACACTTGAGGTGCAGGAGGGCTGGGAGAAAAGGAAAGGAGAAAAGAAAAATGCACTGTGTAGAGGGATATCAGCCCCACTGCATTATACCATAACTTAAAGCAGGCTGTGTTTTCATTTTCTGGCATCTGAAGCAGGCAAGTTTGGAGTTAGAAGTCTTTATGCACTTTGCATTGAAGAGAGAAAGGTTTTGAAGATGGATGCTATAGTGCTAATTTGTGATGTGTTGATTCTTTTCTTTCATGAGTGAGTGGACATTTTTGTGTGTAGAAACTTGAAAGTATCTAAGCTTACATTTTGAATTAGCAAATGGTTGCTTTTGCCAATTCATCTTGCCAGATCTTCCAGTTTTACAGAAGACTGAACATCTGTCTAAGTGTAGAGATTTGCAGCTATATTTTGTGCCGAGTTTTCTGGTACAAAGGGAAACAGGTGTTTCGTAGTCAACTATTTCAGAATACAAAACCATGCAAATTATCAAACTGGTGTGAAGTTATTCCAGCTTTACACAATGCAAATGTTCAAGTTTATGCAAGCAGTTGATTCTTGTGTGAGGAGCTTTATATTGAACTGTTGCTGCATTAGAGGAGGGGAAAAAAAAATAAGCCATTTTTAAGAGCCTTTGTAAAAGCCAGACAGTGTAGTCTAATTTTTGTCTTCAGTCTACTATCCAATACACAGTAATCATTGTAGGCTACAGATGAACATTCACAGAGGAAATAGATTGAGTGTGCTTATTAATGCTTATATTATCCTTCTTTAAACAATTTATGTTTATTCCATGAGTTTAATGGCTTGGTTTGTCTCAGAATGAGACTAAATGCAAGTGTTTTTCTCTCTGCTTTCACATTCGTTCTTCAAGTCTTAATGAAGTTATTTATTTCTCTTCTACTTTAAATATACTATGAGTGTCTATTGTTAGAAGGGGGGAGGGGAGGATGGGAATTCTAGACAAAACACAGGGCTAACTATTTAACAAGATTGTGAAAACTTTTCATCTTTAAAACTTTACACACAGACTTTGCTAATACCTACTAATTGAAGTGGGCACTCACAGCTGCAAGTTTGATTTTGAACCTTGTTGAAAAAAAATAAAGTGTTTTCATTCTAAATAAGCATAGCTGCAGTATTGTTTCTATTTCTTGGTTTTTTTGCATTGACTACTAAACTGGATTCTTATTAGCTAGATTAACCTGCTCTAAGAGAGACAGGATGTGTAGCACTGTCCCTTAAAGGGATAAGATAGAAATATTCACATAGTCTTCAACTATTGCAGACCTAGAATATTGTTGTTTTCATACTGACTGGATTTTTGTAGTATCTTTATGTAAATTGTAGCTGCTGATCACATTGCTATAAAATGAGATCTGCTGCTTTCAGGTTGAATGCGGTGCTCAGTTGTTTCTGATTCATATGGAACACTGCTTTAGTTCAGGCAGTCATTACTCTGAGTGCTAAAATATAGATGAGCAGCTAACTGTTGGAGTCTCGAACATCTGTGCTCTGCTGTAACAAGATACAAGGATGCCATGTTCATGTTTTCCACCTTTATATTTTTCTCTTATTCCTTAAGTGCTTAAACCAATTTTAATCCCCTCTGGAAAATGATATCTTGCAAAATGTGATAAAATGCTTTTACAAGTACGCTTCTGACTTGTTTTAATACAGTTCTGTGAATAATAGTTTTCTCTGGATTTTGAGAGGATGTTTTCTATATGTGTAGGCTTGAAATAAACAGAACCAATGGATTTTACTGAGATTGTATTCATATCCTTGATACTTTTTTTTTTTTACATAAGCACTATGTGTATCGTGAAACAATTAAGCTAAATCTAAATATCAAGATAATATTACATTCCAAGACTACCTGTTCTTACAGGTGTAAGTGTGTTGAAATACATACGCACCCTAGTATCATACTTTAAAGTGACCTGCAGACAGTTTCAAATAGCTCTTGTAAGTTAGTTTGATGCCTCTTTTGTCAAGTTGTATTTAATCTATTGAACTTCACTTTGAAAAGTCTGAATTATGTTTGGATCTTGCAGTTGTCGCTTTTATTTCAGATATTCTATGGATTGAAAGACTTAATAAGTATTCCAGCTTCAGAAAAATAGCTGGTCTTTTTCTCTTTGTGACAACAGGCTTTCATTAAATCTCTTCTGCATGAAGCAAACTTCTCTAAGAGTTAAATAATTTTTAGAGACACTTTCAGAGGAGGATTGCCACATACAAGAAGCCTGTGGCGTATTTGGTTTTAAATGGGAAAATTGCACAGATACAGGCAGCTGTTAGGACAATGCACATTTCATTACTATTGAATTGTCTTATCACATATGAATCAGCTGTCCTATTATCTACTTAGTATAGATGAAAGTGGAATGATGGATTGTTGAGGAGTTGAAGTCTTAACAAGTCTTGACTGTGAGAAACTAAAACTGTTCTTTCCATTCTGATGAAATTGCTGCAATGAATGCAGAAAGGAAGTATTTTGTGTATTTGGTTTGGAGAGCAGAAGTCTCTTAATACTTTCTCTGTACTAATAGTACTTTGTCTTGAAGCTTAAAGGCATAGGCATTTATGTGTTTGCTTAAAATAACATTAGGTTTCTGACTGAAAAGGAAAAAAAGTCTTGCTGCATTAGTTTATTTCTGAATGACTGTGCCACCTCATGTTCCAGCTGCAGAAAATAGTAAACTATAAAAATATAATTAAGCACCACTGTACAAATAGTGTTAAAATTTTATTTTCAGCATTTTAAGGCTTAGGCTATTATTAGTAAAGCAGTAAAGCAAAACAGGACTAAGGAATTAATGGGCAGGTTTTGTTCTCAGCCTTGTGTTTTAGTAAGTCTAAAAGCTTGACTTTTTAATCAGCCAGAATGAGTGGTGATCAATGGAGGTGTTAATTCTGGAACAATTCTTTGCCAACAGCCAGCATTAGCATAAGAATAAGCAGGGTAGCTGCTTGTGAAGTGAACCTGGCCCACCAAAGCAACTGTCTTTTCACATAAATTTTCTTAGGAAGAACCTTTCTGGTACTTATAAGTAAAAATGAATTTTTTTTTTTTTTTTGGAAGATGTTACAGTTACGGTGTTTCTGGATAAAGAGGGCAGAGAGGGAATTCTGAAGAGCAAGTTTTCTAAATGTCGTTTCAATTGGATGATAGGGATCCCTCCTGCAAGGGATACCTCTAAAAAGTGCTGCCCTCTGAGTGGTGGCATCAGTAATTATTAAAAGGGGGTTGAGGGCTCAAACACAGGCAAACTAATTCAGGCAGTGCCTGATGTGTGTCTTCCTGGTTGGCGATGCAGGAAATTGACTTGCATAAAGCTAGGGAAGGGAGAGTGTTTAAGATCCAGTACAAAAATTCCTATCACCTGAAAAGGATGCCTGTGATTGTTGGGTGATTAGGGTATGATGATACTGGAAGTCTTTCCAGTCCTGTATGCCTAATTCACGGCAATGAGGCACTTCATGAAGGAAGGTTGGAGACTTGATGCTCAGAGAGCAGTCGCGTTTCCTCCCGATTGCTGCTCTCCCAGCCCTCTGACGTGTTGGGGCACACCTGCTTGGCTGAATTCCCAGCTTCACATCCTTGTCACTTATCCAAGTGAGAATAAAATGCCTTCATATTTGGCACACCTAGTTTCCCAAGTGGTGTCTTGTACCTCAAGTCTTCCAGGTTCTCACTACAAAACAAATTATCAGCTTAGTGGCATTGAACTGTGAAAACTCAAGAGTCTTATGCCCTATGCAGGGCAACTGTGGATGCTACCACTTGGTTTACTCCTTAGATTAATAGTAGAGAAGCATAATGGCTGTTTTAGTCAGGAGGTTTAAGATGAAGCTGGTGTATTAAGAGTGTGTGTATATAAATGGTTTTTGAACATAAATACCAGTATTCTACCAGTATTAATTAAAAATGCCTGCAGTTTTGAACCTTTACAAATAGTAGGCCAGTGACTAATTAGGGAGAAATCCTTCTGCTTAGAGGCGACTGGTTTGTCGGTTTGGGTTGGATTTTTTTCCCTATTTACCCATCTTGCCTCCCTCTCTGAGTACAATTCTTTAAATTTGCCGATGCCTCTTATAAGCTTGCAAAAAATGAAAATTTAGTCTTTCTGACCACACAAAATCAGGGAGTTGGGCAGAGTGAGGACATCTTGTTCACACAATGCTGTATAAGCACATGTATGCACTCATTGCTGTACAGCAGTGTCATTTTTTGCACTTTCCTCTGCACTCCAATACATTTATGCTTCTATTGGTGGCATATCCCTTAATATCTCTAAAGGGATTCTTTCCATCTCACAATTCTTGATTCAAAAAGCAGATTAGCTGCTTTCCAGATGAACAGATAAGATTGCTACTGAAGCTAAAAACAAGAAAGGAAAAAAAACCAGAAAACCTTCACACAAACAACCCAAAACTCAACCCAAAACAACAAACTAGAATGTACTTGTCTCCAGCATAAGTAGCACTGTGGCCAGATGACAAAAAACACTATTACCAATTTGTCATTAAAAAGGGGACATAAGATTGTCTTTCTGAGCAAAGAGTCTGACATTACAAGTTGTTTGAGGGTTTTTTTTTAGAATTTTAGTGCATTGTGATTTAGTTTATTTTCTACAGTGTCTGAATATTTGTTTTGTGACCTCAGCCACCCTACTTAGAAGGGTTGTAAATAAGAAGAGAACGCCCTTCTAGCTGTCTTCACAATTGGCAGCTTGCTAACTTCAGCTTTTACCTTGGGGACCAGCAAGATGTATTTCAGCATTTCTGCATGCAGGATTTGGCATACGTACTTCAGATGCTGTTTCCTCATTTGATAGTTTTCTCTGAGCTATGGAAAATGAGCATTTAGCCCCTGGTGACTCCTCCAAGTCCAGCTTGGTTGAAACAGTCGAGAATTCTGCTTATGTGAAAGAAACTGCAAGACATCATTCATAAACTCACCAAATCTAAATCTTGATTGTAATAGGCTTTTGTATTCAGAAATTGTTAATCTACAGGTCTTGGTATCCTCATTAATACTTTTTTCCTGACAAAATGGATTGGTTAGTGGTTGCTTTGTAGTATTTATTAAGCTTATGCTATTTTTCATACCTTATAGAGCAGTTCCAATGCATTGCTCTGTCTCCAAGTTACTGCAGCCCACATGTGTTCCTGGTGTTCAGCATAACTAACTGATTTTTCAGACTTACTTGAAGTCATCTTTTGGCCAGGAAATGTATTCAGAACTCGAACTGATTTTAATGGTCTGCAGTAATACCTTCACTGGTGTTCAGAAGCATTATGCTTTTTGACAAAAGTATCTTTTTTGTTGGCATTGCAGCAGTATAATTGAATTTTACTGTTTCAACAATGAGAGACTCAAGTGAGAGGAAGAACTAATTTGAGTCGGATGGCTCCAGAAAGCCCTGCCTTTTGCTCCCAAATCTAGTGGTGAGATAAAAGGAAGATAAACAGCAATTACTGCTGTAAGGACTGTTTGAACCCAGCCTCAATCACATCTACTGTCTCATATACTGCTTTTTCTCCTCATGGCACTACTCCTTGATCCTTGTGAGCTTCAGACAAAGCATTGCCTCTGCTAAGAGACCCTTTTGCTGAACCCTGAGTAGAATTCTTTCCTAGCAGAACTTCCCTTAGGAGATGTTCCAAACTCATCTCAAGTTGTGTCAATGCTTCAGTTATAAAAGAGTCTGCTTTTCTTTCTTGTATGTGCCTGTTCTAGGTTAAGATCCTGTTGTGTGCTTTGAATGCCAGGAGAATCTTCTACTGTTAAATGCACAAGCTCAGACTTTCTAATCTCCCTATGTTTTGTCTGCCACAGAGTCTGTCCAGCCAGATAACGGGCTGTGTAAAAGCCTGCGGTGGGACTTGCTGGTGGTTCACCTGAGCTCGAGCTTTCTGTGGCCTTGCTGAAGAATGCTCCTATTCCAGGTAGCTACTCTGCAGCCAGTAAAAGGTCCAGTTGCTTTTTCATCAAGCATCACATTATTTTATGGAGAAAGAGATTATCAGTTTCAGAGATAACCAGATTGGTGCTTTTTATTTAGTTTGTTGTTTGGAGGGTTATTTCTTCTTTTCTAAACAGAGGAGAAGGCTTTGTAATGTATTACATTGGAGGCTAAGTGTAATACATATTTTTAAGAGTTTATGCACTACTTCTTTCCCTCTCCATCCCATCCACCCATCCCCACAACTCTTGCTTGAATACAAAGCTTCCTCTTCCCAATATTTTGACATGTCAGTATCTAAAATCATATCGTTACACTTGCAAAGAGTAGCTCTAAACTAGACACCAGAGTCTCTATCACCTAGAGTAAATACCACTTTTAAGATACTTTGCTGAATTCTTTAGGCTTGCAGAAAACAGTGAAAGTCATAAATGAAATACTGCAATAATCTTTTTGTAGGTCATAGTTACTTTGGTTTTAGATTTTTATTTTAGGAAAATGAAACACAAAATTAAATTCAGGATTTCTTCTATCTGTGTCAAAGCTACTTATTCCAGTGGTCTCTGGTTTTTACTAGCCAGTATACAGAGCTTCCCAGAGGAGCTTCCTGTCAAATATGTTTACGCTACATTTACAGATAATGAAAGCAAGTAGCTAGACGGGAGGAAAAGGCATTGCAAGTTGACTTATGCTATTATTTTTTTCCAAAAATGTATGAGACATAGAAAAATAACCCATTCTTAACATGGCTCAAAAAATTAAGGAGGAAGGAAACATAGGTATCCAAACCCATGAATCATATGGCAAGTACAAAACATCATGCTGCAGTTACAAATAAATATTTTATATGACAAAGCTAGTATTATAAATCTAAAAAATATTTCATTTAACCCCACAGTGCTTATCTGAGAAATAGAAAATCCTGTTTTGGGCTAAACTATTAAAATACTAAAAAAAGAAAGATTAATATAATATAGAAATAATCACTGTACTTCCATAGGACTCTTACTTACCTTTAGTCTAAGGTTGACAGGTATATTTGAGTCAAACAGGAACAACTACTACATATTATAAAGCTGCTGATCGTGTTTCTTTAATTAAACTGTTGAACACACTGAATAACAATGTAACGACGCATAGAAAATTAGCTTGTTTGCCATTGATTAATGATAGATAATGTGTGCAGTTCCCCACAGTGGTTCATTTGAACAGTTCTCTGTGATGTACGAACTCTGGCTCATTAGCGCATGCCTTTACTTGCACAGTGATTCAGCATAAAGGCCCACACAAATAGGAATGCACTTTTAAAGATAAAGACAGGATTCATGTTTAGCTTACTTACAGTGTAATGGAGGTGTAATGCCCCTCCAAATTATTTCATTCAGGTAAACAAGGCAAAGATTGAAGGGTAGAAGAAAAAAAGTTGCTTATTTCAATAATAGCTTGAAAAGAGTTAGAGAAGAATTACAGGCCAATACAATGAAAGAAGACAGGAAAAGCTAGCAGCAGTTATTCTTTTAAGTGCTGAGTTTCAAAGAAGTAGCAGCTGGTAAACTCAAGTATCAGCTGTGCACATGTACAGTTATTTATCTCAAATGTCCATGTACAAGAAAGGTGTGTACAGATTAACTTAAAGCCAAGGACATTTACAGTTCTCAGCTTCTCAAGAACAGTCAGAATGTGTTTAAAAGAAAAAAAGGTTTCTACAGCTACTGCTGTAGATAAGTAGTAGGAGTAGCTAAAGCTTCAGAAAAAAAACCCAAAGCACTGCAGAATCATTTTTTCATTTCTGAGATCAAGAAATAGCCAACTGAATCCAGAGCCACTAATTTTCTCTATAAATAAGAAAATGAGTTTAAGGGCCAGCTTTGTTTCTTTTGCTTTGTCAAATAATGTGACTTCATGTGTTTTACTACTTTGATATTTAGTTTGAATACGGATTTGGTAATAGTACACACTGTAATAGTTTTTGTAACAACATATTTAATACACCAAACAGAATGTTTATCATCTAGAAATTGCTACTCCAGTTCGTCTTACGTTGTTATAAATCCCACTATAAATTGTGTAAAATAAAGCTCCTCCACAAAAAAAAAAAAAAAAAAAGTAGGGAAAGATGGGCTTTGAAATTATGCAAATTAATCTTTGGTCTTTGGTTATTCACCCCCTTGAAAACCAGCATCAACCTTCATGATAGGCCAGAAATGGTTAAACTTGTAGCCAGAGGGAGGATCTCTGCTGCTTTGGGCCTTTATTTCTTCAGGTTCTCCTAGCACAGAAGCAACTGTAGCATAATTTAAGCAACTGCTTAAGGCTCTCTGAATTAGAGCATCCCTTTGCATGTCAGATTCAGGATTTCCCAGACTCTCTGCTGGGCAGACAACGTGTGGACCTGCTCTGTGAGCATGTTGCTTGGTTCCTGAACAGGCTTCTCTCCGGTAGCACATGCTACCCATGCACTCGCAGCTGCCTTGTGTTGCTCTGACCTCCTGTCTCACGGGAACCAGTTCTACACATCATATGATCTACTTGAGCTTGACATACAAATAAAGGAATGTTGGTTTGTGGTAGTCTATCACCCATACTGCAGTAAAGCACAAGCCTGCTTTCATATGTCCTTCTGTAAAGGATGTGATGATAATGCTGTGGCATTATGGAAGTAGAATCCAGATGTAAAAAAAATAACACAGCATTAGACTGCTTACCAAAAAATAAGCACTGTAAGCTGCTTAATTTTTTAGAAACCAAATATCCCGGTGATGTGTCATTCTAGCCTCATGTGAATGATTACAGGTGCTGTCCCCACACGTAACAACACAGGAATCTGAGAACGTGTGTAGCACCATTCTGTGGGGCGTAGCTTCTTAACTAGTCAGCTTAATGAATGCTGCAGTTAAGCACACTGCTTGCATGGTTTTTGAACAATTGCTGCTTAACAGAGATGTAGGGACAAATCTCTACGGAGAACAGGAGCACATGAGGAATGCAGTCAAAGTACTGTAAAACTGGCTTCCAGGTTACCATCATGTTACACCCATACTTGTTCTGCTTGCACGAGGGAGTCTGGAAATTTTTACAGAAGGAAATTATGCTCCTTTTTCCTGCATTTAAACTATCAATTAAATTTCCTCCACCAAAGCCTGAAATTTGAATTCAGTAAAGATCAGTTCAGCTGCAACCAGACAAAACTGGTTATTATCTGGCAATCTCAATGTCAGCATTTGCTATCTCCTGTGAAAAGTGTGCCAAACTAGAATATTCTGTTCATGGTTTTGGACATATAAGAAGTGAAAACAATTTATTCTTAAAACAAACAAACAAAAAACCCCAACAAATAAAAAACCAACCAACCAAACAAACAAACCCCACAACCAACCAAAAAAAAACCCACATCATGAAGAAATTTATCCACTCAACTTGAGGTGAAAGCAAACAAGGGAGTAGAATGCTAGCTCTCTGAGACTTAGAAGTCCTCAATCATACGTGCTGACTCCATACTTTGGGGATGGATGTGTTGGAGATGCAGAAATTATTCTGACAACTACAGAGTTTAGAGGGGATTAAGAGATTTTTCTGCCCCAGCATAGTCATTTAGGTTGCCAAAGACCTTTTAGATCATCAGGTCCAGCCAGTAACCTAACACTGCCAAGTCCACCACTAAACCAGGTCCCTAAGACCACACCTACACGTCTTTTAAACACTTACAGAGATGAGGACTTCACCACTTCCCTGGACAGCCTGTTCCTGTGCTTGGAAGCCCTTTTGGTGAAGAAATTTTTCCTAATGTCCAATCTAAATCTCTCCTGGTGCAATTTGAGGCTGTTTTTCTTCCTGTCACTTGTTACCTGGGAGAAGATATTGACCCCCACCTTGCTACAACCTCTTTTCAGGTCGTTGTAGACAACAATATCTCCTCTGAGTCTCCTTTTCTCCAAGCTAAACAACCCCAGCTCCCTCAGCTGCTTCTCATTAGAGTTATGCTTCAGACCCTTCACCAGCTTTATTGCCCTTCTTTGGACAGGCACTCTGTTTAAAGCAGAGTGGGATTCTGGAGCAACTGAAGATGGTGGCCTGTGTACCTTCTGCCCCAAGTCAGATGTAGGACCCTCTCAGGGCATCTTATGTTCAGGACAACAAAAAGACTGTTGCTGAATCCAGGTGCAATCCTGACTTGTTCTGTCTGTGTTCTAATCATTTCTAATGTAGAACAGAAAATGTCCAGTAGATGGCATTATGATTCCACACTATAATAAATTTATTTAAAAAAAAAAAATCACTGCTGAAAAGATATGCATCACAATTTTTCTTAATTCTGTGTTTAATCACAGTAAGGCTCTTTGGTAAGGAGAGAGCTCAGTAAATGAGTTAACCTAGCTGTGGCCTTTCACTGTGCCTTTATGCCAAATTCTTCCATCTACCTTCAATTGTGTATTCTCATAAATCTGCTCTCATTGGCTGGGCATTTTGATTTCTTCTCACCTCTAATTAGTTTCTCAAAAAAAACATAGGATGTAGCTGTGCTACAGTATTCAAATGCACATGTAGTTCTTACTTATTCATGTCAGCAAGGATTGTATCTTTGCTTCTCCTGAACATACGTGAACCAGAATTACTCAGCTGGTGTTCTGGGTGTTGTTATCTGTGTACCTATACTGAGGGACTGACTCAAAGATTATGATAAGACTAGAGGCAGATGGCTGAAGGTGCTCCCTGCTTCTCTGGTCAAGGTCAACACTTCTGCATATTACAGCCTGAGTCATACACAAAACAGATTTTGGACTGCTGCTGTTTGTGGTCCAGTATATTGAACTAAACTAGTATCACTGACAGGATTGTGATCCTTTTCAAATGTAAATATTTAAATACTAGCTAAGATGCTACCAGCTTTATGGAAAGAGAAGTTTTCAGAGAAATTGCACTGAAATATTCAAGGGTGAATTAAATGCTTTAATAATGGTGTCCTGTAAGCAAAGAATATATAGCAAGTTTTGCTAGCATTCCAACTGTGAAAAGAATTCAGCACAAAAATAAGTTCTGCTACATTGTTTGAAAAGTCCTTTTGTCCTCCCAGGAATAGAAAACTCTCTTGCTACTTAAGAGTATCCAACCGTATCCCAAAGTACTTAATTGTTCAGAAACAGCTATGATGGTCTTGGATTTTGATGTTTTGTTCAGAGGGATTTAATGGGCCTCCTCTGCTTTTTCAGTTTGTATGTGAAACCGCATGTGAGATCAGTGTTATTAGTTTGATGGCATTGCATTAATCTAGACCTCCTCTTTGTTCAATCCATTAGGGACTGTCAGCTCTCATCCATCTGGCTGACAGTTCTGTAGTGGTAGTGGTGGCTAATGGAAGTAACTCAAACAAAACTGTAAATGTGCTTGTGAGCAGGGTAGAACCTCTGAGAAAATTGCCATTTTCTATGTAGCTGTTACTCAAGGAATGAATCCATCAATGAAGATGCAGCCGCAAAACATGGAGGTCATCCTTGATTGCACTTTCAAGTTATTGGAATTTTTCGGTTGTTTCAATTGCACTGAAGCTGTTGCTTGGCAGTTTTATCTGATTTTTGATCAGAGATTCACTTGAAATCAAGTGGCAGACATGGCTTTGCTAACAGTAAAATTCCTTCCAGAAAAAAACAGGTAGCATCTCCTAGGTGAGGTACTATTTATTTTGATAAATATATACCTGGACATTTTTATTTCTTTGTTTCCATTTGTACTATTGTTGATCTGGGATTTGGTTTTTTTTTACCTGGAAGGCAAACACCCATAGCATGATATCAAAACTCACAAACAGACTTGTGCAATCCACTCAAGTGAGCTGCCGATGTAGCTAGTCTTAATCTAAAAAAGGCAGTAATCAATCAAATTAATTATTTTCTCAGTTGTGTACACTTAAAAATATGGTAACCGATATTAGTGCATGAAATAGAACTTTTATATGTAAAGACATTATGTGGTTAGAGGACAAGGAACTATTTACCTAACACTGAAAAGGTTGCATGCCAATGCAGCTATTGGATAAGGCATTTATGTGTGTCTGTGTGTATATATATATAAAATTAGTCATATATAAAGATATGCTTCTGCAATGAAAGCTGCAACCACAGTCAAGGCTTCTACATGAGGATAAGATTCTAGCCAAGATGCTGTTTAATTAACTGCTAAGTTTGTTAGCAGGATGATACAGAGAGAGAGAAGCTTCTTAGATTAGATTATGAAAGAACAAATGAGGTTTTTTCTTTAGGTTCTCCAAGTATTTAAACCAAGAAACTGTATTATGTAGCTTATAAAAATAAATTATTTGTTCAAGAAATCCTTAAAACTGGAGGGCATGATCATTCTTTGTGGTCTGACAGTGTTTTAATACAGTTCCTTGAGGATATTTTAAAAATATGAGCATTTTTACACTAACTGCAAATAAAAGCTATTAACATGAGATGTCACTATGAAAATGATGTGTCTCTGTGATGTTGTACTGGAAACAGTATTGTGTCTGTGACTTTAACATAACTCCTACTGCTTAGTGGTTTATTAGTAACTACTTCCAACACTATTCAGTTCTTGCATTTTTGGGTTTGCATCCCCAAAACTGCTGGAGTTTAATGCTTTCATGAGCTTATATGATGGAAGAACTTCACAGATCGTTGTCTCCAAAGTAGAGACAGCTAAAAGATACTGCCAGACAAATAATTCACAGCATCCCACCGACATGAGATGACATATGCTTTTTAAATCATGCCGACTATGATACAGTGTTTTTATTGTCCGCTGATGACCAGGTTAATCCTGTTTAATGATAATATTTTCCACATGTTCGGTAATTAACTCCGACATAAATAAGAGAGGTAAAAAGGAAGCAAGTGTAGCTACAACATGGCAATAAATACATACGACTTAACAGGACGTACTTCACGAAGGAAAATTAGGGAACAGGGAAGGTACTACAGCCCTCGTCGTTTCTCCTGTAAGTCTGTACCTCCCCACTAAGGAACACATTTTTGCGCTATTGTACATAATCAGAAGCAAATAAATCATTGTTAAAAGATGACAATTTAGGCCTTCATTGTATGAATAAATTTTTGTAAGCTTGATACTTCTTTTCCCTAGAAAAAGCGTGTTACTCTTTGCATGATAACTACTGAGATTTAAAAAAAAAACAAAAACAAACAAACAACAAAACCAAACAAACAAACAAAAGGATCCCGCCCTGCCTTTCCAACCCCCGCGTGCGACGCGGGCTGTGGGATCAGGAGTTGTTAGGGCAGACGGTGCAGGCTGAGCGCCTCAGCCCGGCCGCGCCGCTCCCGCCGTCCCAGCGCTCCGGCCCGCGGGGCGGCCCCGCCGCTGCCCCGCCCTCTCCGTGGCGGGCGCAGGCGCACGGTGGGGGCACGGGCAGCGATGGCGGCGCGGAGCGGGGCCGGGGCCGGGGCCGGGGCGGGAGCGGGGCGCTGTGCCTGGCGCTCCTCTGGCTGTCGGTCGCGCCGCTGCTTCGCGGCGCTTGCGGCTCGGAGCTCCTCGGGCCGTCGGAGCTGCCAGGCGGCGCGGGCCCCGGGGAGCGGTTTAAGATCGAGGGCCGGGCCGTGGTGCCCGGAGTGAAGCCGCAGGACTGGATCGCGGGGGCCCGGGTGCTGGTGGACGGGGAGGAGCACGTCGGCTTCCTGAAGTGAGCGGCGGGCGCAGCGGGCGATCGGGCCCCCGGGGCTGGCGGCAGGCTCGGCTCGGCTCGGCCCGGCCCGGCCCGGCCGTGAGGGAGCGGGGGCGGGGCGGGTCCTGCCAGGCCCGGCTCCTGCCGGGCCTGGCCGTGTCCCGGTCAGCCGCGCACGGCTGTGGGATTGCGGGGTCGTGGGCTGCCGAGATGAGCTGCTGGCGTTACACTGGCCCCGTGCCTTGTAAGGGACTAGGAACGGCCAGGCCTGCAGTGCTGTAGGTTTTGACCTCAGCCTCCTGCAGGCGTACCCAAACTGATGGCTCAGGCTGCTGGCGTTGTAGCGATCAAAAACATTGGAACTGAGTTATAAGTAAAAACAACCGCAAAACAAAACTCCAAACGCGTTTGCACTGTCTGGAGGAAAGTGTTTATTCTCAGCTTCTGCTGCTGCAAATTCTGCCACTTCGTTTCAAGAACCATTATGGTTAAATTATGGGTAAATTCTGGAGAAATGTTTGTTGCAGCTGTGGTTCTGTGTTACAATACCCGTGAAAAACTTTCACTGTACTGGTGAAAGCCAGTTCAAGGGACATGACTTTATTGCTTCACACAACATCGTGCAAATGCAGTTGGCAGTTGTAAAGAATCACATTGTCTTATTCAGTCTCAGGTGGTAGTGGGTATATTCAGATAAACAAAGGATCTAGAAATTCTAGGACATAGAAGATGTCCTCAGAATTAAGAATGTCATAGTTTCAAATGTAGAAGTTACCAGAACCATTCCAGTTATCAAAATAGGAAAATAATTATTTGATATAGTAGAGTTGCTTTTTGAGTATTGCAAGAGTCATTCTCTAGTATGAACATTTTTAGAAATCGGATTAGTTTCCTCACTGTGGTAAAAATTGAATACTTTTTTCTTCTAAAAAAACCAGTATTGAATACCAGTATATGAAGCGAGAATTCGCTGTGTCATATGAATATATCTTTAGAAAAAAAAATAGGAGAATTTTATTAAACTGATACTGTAAAGAATGAAAAATTAGAAGGAAATTCCTAGGGAAACATCCTCTAACAGTTGCAATATAAGATTATGGAAGCATTTTTAGTGCTTCAAATCATCACATAAAAATGGGAAGATGTTTCACTGATGTGCATCTTCGATGTTTCTCTGATGCATGTTTCTAATGTGTCAGGTTTTACTGAGTTTTTTGCCCTTTGAACAACGTTGTTTTGTTATAACTTTGAGTCTTATTTTTAGAAGAGATATCATTGATGTTGCTTTTAACACTAAGATTTTCTTGCTGGGAACTTCTGGAAACACATAGGAGGAAAACTTCTGTACTTTTAAGACAACTGGAGCTGAAGCTTTCAAGTATCCTTTTACTAATTTCACTGAATATTCCAGTTTCATATTTTAAAATAAAAGCCATCTGTATAAAAATCCCTTCTGTGTATGTGTTCGGAGCTCTTAGTTTCCTTATTGTTGTGATTGAGTTTTCTAGTGTGGGCTAGTCCTAAAGGGAGCAATTAAAATTAAACCTCTTCATTTCACAACAAACAAAGGCACAAACTACTATTACTGAGCGTTGCAAACCTTCCACACTATGTAGGATGTCAGTTTGGGGAGGGGGTTTGCTTCCAGCAGGAGTGCTGAAGTAAACTTCATTGTATGTATTTCAGAAGGAGGAAAGAAGGTATAAATTCCTTCTGCTATTACTTGAATACATGAAATGTAGCTACTTCAGATCTTACTTGGGCTGTGAAATTATTCTTCCAGCAAGACAATAACTTGAGGGCAGAACAAAATCTTTAACAAAACTAATAATTTCTGTTACTGTTGTGGCATACGTTGATGATCTCAAGGGTTTTGATACTGTGAGTGCTGAATGATTTAAATTTTTTTTTTTGGCCATTGTTATATTAAGATTTATAATATAAAATGATAGTCTTACAACTTCTTTTAAAAAACCACACAGCACCCTGTCTTGTATGCTGGAGCATAATGAAACGTAGCGCAACTTTCTGTTTTTTCAGGACAGATGGAAGTTTTGTGGTTCATGATGTACCTTCAGGATCTTACGTAGTGGAAGTTATATCCCCAGCTCACAAATTTGAGCCTGTGCGAGTTGACATAACTTCAAAAGGCAAAATGAGGTGAGCCTTTTCTGATTTGTTTCTGTGTTGGTTATTACATGTGCCTGACAGCGCAGTACAAGAATTAATGTAAACAGTGCTGTAGGTCTGATGTTTCATTTCAGACCATACATTTTAACTTCTTTTAACATCACTTCTAGGAGCATGTTTCTTAAAATCCAAAGTCTGATCTCTTTCTTCCTTTCGTATTTATGGCCTTAAATAAGAGAAATAGATTTTAAAAGTCTGTCTGTTTACTTTTATTATTTTCTTGTGCAGCTATCCTGAAATAAAATCTGGGCATAAATCAGTTAACTGCTTTATCATTTGCCAATACCTTTTTTCCTTCTTCCCTATTCCGTTTCTTTAATAAATGGTCTGTCAGGATTTGGCACAGTGAAACTCTAAAGTATTTCTGTTACATCCCCATAGGACACTTGTTAGTTACTGGTTAATAGTAGTAGTTGCTAGCCTGCAGTATTTCTGTAGCATAATTAGCTTGTTTTTTATGTTATGGCAAGAGATGTTATCCCAAACCACTCTAACTGTACACCTGTAACTGCAAGCTATTCAAGAATACAGAAAAAATGTATAACTGATGTAATAAGGTGATTTTATTTAAATAAGCATGTTCATAGTTAATTTTTCTTTGTTCAGGCAGACACAGAGTTTCTTAACTTCAAGATTGTCTTTTACAGTATCTTATAAAAGTTATCATTACATTTCAGAAATACAAACGTCAGTGTGAATACCTCCAGCAGTATATTTAGGGGAGGTTAAAAGTTGAAATCTCGCTGAAAATGCTGCTTGTTTAGTAATGAACAGTTTGTTTGAGCTCAGGTTTTTTCCAGACTATATAATTTTTATACTTTGTTTGGCAATATCTTACTGGCCACAATGTGTAATAAATACAGAGAAATAGACACAATAGTGCTGTAACGTCACCCTTAGAATTGTTTGGGTATCTGAGGACTAGTAAGGTAAAAAATCTGATGTTAAGTAAATCGCTAGGATATGTCTTCAGAGGAAAGTCGCAGTAGGCTTGGCATTCTGCCAGTCAGACAGGTAGAAACTGTAGTGAGGAACACAACTGAGGAATCAGAGATCCATGAAGAACGATGATACTTGAGGAAAATGTCAACAGGGCTTTTCTAGGGAACATTCTGCATTAAAAAATTATTGTAATTCCTAGAAAGAGAAAAAAGCATAGTTGATAAGATCTACTTGAAAATCTCAAGTTTTGGAGAAAATATTTAGTCATAAGGTAGGCAGGAAAGACATTCTATAGATGAGTATTTGGTGAAAATTTCAGAAGGAATAAAGTATTTCTCTTGTAATGGGCAGAAGTCATCCTTGGAGTTGCACAAGGCAAGTAAATATTTGTAAATTATGAAAAATGGGTCAAGAGTGACAAAGATGGTAGTAATTGAGTAACTGTCTAAATACCAGGCCCAAATAAATAACACCAATGAAGAACTATGGAAAATCCCAATAAAGTAATAGAGACTGAGATTCAGTATTGATAAATGTAAAGTAATGCACTTAGGCAGAAGTATTAACTTCACATACAAATAATTGATGCCATGAGCAAAGTAGTTAAACTACTGTTGCCTAAATGGCTGTGGGGAAAAAAAGATTCCAAGCCAAATTAGGTAGGAGATAAGATAAGGATGCAAAGGCTTTAATGAGCCCCCAGGCTTTCTGGAATACCCCCAACACGCCCTCCGGAATACAGATGTTCACACTTTTTATAATGATTTTCACCCAATCCCTGTCCAGCCACCACCCAGGTTCTGCCCCCCACCACGCCTCTTGGGAATTGGGTCTGGGGGTGTTTTGGGACCCCCTCTTCTTCATCTTCCTCAGAGCACGTAATGTTCTTGGAGGCCTTCCAGAGTCCTAGGCCTGAAGGTTGTTGCGTCTATGGCTATATCTTCTTCCGTAGGGTTAGGATGTTCTCTACAATTCTACCTTGAAAAAGAGTCTAAACAGGCTAGTGGAATTTAGGGGAATTGATATGGGAATGGGTAACAGGGTTTACTATGTGTAGCTGGTGTGTTAAAGGGTAAAGGGATAATATGCTGCTACTCTAAAATCTACATTTACTACATAACTACTTCTAAGATCTACAAAAATTAAAAAATCAAAACTCCAAGGTATCACTACACTACAGTGTGCTGAGCTGTATCTGTCTTTACACAGTATAGTTTTTCTTGTTCTTTACCAAGGTGACAAAAAATGGCTTGTTTTTGATTCTGTAAAAGATGCTGCTGAGAGGAACTAGTTTCTGAAAAGTGAAGCCTAGCTGACACTGCATATTTTTTTTTGTAGTGTATTATTAAAACTTTGCTTGGATTTTTTAGAAATCATCTTTTATTCTGTTAAATAAATTATTATGCTTATATTTTCAATTATTCACTTTTTGCTTATTAGAGCAAGATATGTGAATTACATCAAACCCTCTGAAGTTGTCAGGCTGCCATACCCACTGCAGATGAAATCCTCTGGACCACCTTCATACTTTATAAAGAGAGAATCTTGGGGATGGACAGATTTCCTCATGAACCCTATGGTATGTACAAGCACCACACAAAGGTTACAAGTATTATAAAGATCCAAATACAATTTTTTTCAGAAAATCAAGAATAAAGTAATTGAGAAAAGATGTGCACACTTTGCTCTTCCAAGAGGGTTGTTTTATTTCTTCTTCACTTGCTTACAAAGAGAAAGTTTTTCTGCGTCCTCTCCTCCCTGACATACCCACTCTGTGCAAATAGCCTGTAGTCTGCTTCATTTGACAACATGATCTTGTTCTAATAATGTGGAAATCAACATGTTGCAGAATTGTAATTACAACAGTTTTAAGTTATAACAGCCATTTGCTTTATTGCAATAGATTTTGAAATCATGTTATTTAAAGCACAAATACTCCTTTATCAGGTTTGTTTCCTGACAAATGAATTACTGTTACTGGGTTAGTGACTCAGAATGCAGTGGTTCTAGAGTTTGGCTGTTTAGTTAAAGATTAATGTTAGTATTTCTGAAAGTGTCTAGAGCAACAACTAAGCTGAAGAAGTATTTCCTATTTTCTGTGTAGGTGATGATGATGGTTCTTCCGTTACTGATATTTGTGCTTTTACCTAAAGTTGTCAACACCAGTGATCCTGATATGAGGCGGGTAAGTACATTCAGGTGATGCATACGTAGAGAGCAAAGATAATGAGATTTTAGGGTACAGAAAAGCAATAATAACAAAACTGGACTTTTAAAGAGGTCTTAATGGACATCATTTATTCAGTTAATGCAGTGTTGGTGTTCTGACATTTCCTGGCTCATGAATTTCCTGTTAAACTTGCTGAATTTGCTGAATGGTGTTTTCCAGACTTTCTTTAGAGTGATAAATGTAATTTCTCAAATTATCTCAAAATTCTGTAAATTTCCAGTATATTTCTGCACTATGTTTAAATCTAGCACTTTAGTTTTAGACATCATTTAATAAGTGTGTATTGAGAAGAGTATGATGTAGGGTTCTCTTTCCTGTCAGGCTAAAGCACAGTTTACTATGTTAAATCCAGATGTCATAGTAGTGTATATGATATGGAGTCTTAATGTAATCATTAAATTGCCTGATTTATTGTCCTTTATTATATTATTGTCCTTTCATCATGCAAAATGCCGAATAGCAGAAGGCTAGGACAAAATGGAGATTCAAGGTGTTTAGCTAAATCTTTTCTTATTTTTAGAAGTATTCCTTGCCTGTTGTGGATGGCTGTTTTTTGAGGGCTTGATTAACTAAAAACTCCTTCTGTGCTAAATGACCACTGTCTTCAGTAGTACTTTATAGGTGTCTGAATCTTTTTTTTTTATAAATACCTATAAAAAGCATATCAGAACTATGTAATGCTATTTTGGCTGTAATTTTGATTAAAAACTGGATACAGATATATGCTAGATATACGTAGCATGTTCTTCAAACCAAGCTGAACTCTGGAAGTTGAATTAAAAAAAGAAAAAAAACATGACTTGTGAAGGAGAAATTTTAAGTTGAAGGAATTTTGCTTGTAATTTAAGTTATCTTTGAAGAGTAGGAAAAGGGAGTTTTTAAGAACTCAGTTGCAGTGGTATTCTCTACATGATCATGTATAAAACTGTTAAGTGTATATCCAAATTCCATTTGTTTTGGGAGTGTATGCAGCTTGTATAACATTTTTCAAGTTAACTTGTTCTCTTGTTTTTTATGGAATCAGCACAGTACTGGTCTATATAGAAAGTTAACGATTTAGTAACTTAACTGCCTGTTGTTAGAGGCTTTAAGTGTAGATGTAATGTGGATGCAATAGTAACGAAGGCAACCAAAATGTCTTGAAAACAGTTAAAGATATATCATTCTGACTGGTGACTAGAAGAGCAAGGGGATAATCGCACATTAAATTGGCAATTGCTGTAAGCATTATTCCATTGTGGATGTGCAGTTCAGCTGTTATGCACTTCAGGGGTGGTTTGTTTTAAAACGTGCTAATTCACCTCATAGAACCACTATGCTAAATTCTAAAGTTACATTAAGCTTACCTGGATATATATTCTCATTAAAATCCTTCTTTTCATGAAGCAAAAAACCTTAGCTGTTGTAATAGCTTAATGTCAGAAAGTAGGGCAAAAAAATAACTAATCCCTTCAAACAGCAACAAAAATTTGTTAGATTTAGCATAAATAATACTAATTTAAAAACATCAAAGTGTGAATCTGTGAGAGCACAAATCTGAAAATCTAAATAAAAGCTTAAATTTTAAAATGGAGGAAAGTAGTGCTGAAAATAAATAATGTCATTTTTTAAAGATTTTTTTTAATCAGATGTTTGCCCTGTAAGACTGCTTAAGACGTGGTTACCATTTTCCATACACCAGTGCTTTTAGTTTTGGGATTTTATGTTTCTGTGTGTAGCTGGGTGTTTGGCCCTGCATAAAAATATATAGCAATATATACCTTGGAGGACTACAAATAGTGAAACAATATTTTGGGAAATTTGAAATCTTTCTGATACAATCAACTGATGCCTTAACTACAGCCAGAATTGTTACAAGCTATTAAGATTATCTGATCTTTGCATGCAGGAAATGGAGCAGTCAATGAACATGCTGAATTCCAACCATGAGCTGCCAGATGTGTCTGAATTCATGACAAGACTTTTCTCTTCAAAATCTTCCAGCAAGTCTGGTGGTAGCAGCAGTAAAACAGGGAAAAGTAGTTCTGGAAAAAGGAGGTAGTTGAGTCTTCCTCCCAAGTCTGAGTTTGCACAACTGTTTGTTATGTGCTGTCGTGTTTATTTGTCTTGAAAGATCAAAAAGCCACTACTGTAAACTTTAACCAGGCACAAAATCAGTATGCTACAAGTGTGGTTTGTAGCTTTTTTTTTTAGACTGTTATAAGCTGTTTTGTACTTGACAGTAAGCAAAAGAGGACATGGCTTCAATACTGTATCTGTATAAAGTTACTGATGATGCTGAATTAAGTATATTATTCTGTAGAGAATTAAAATAAATTATGTGATGTGCTTCACAGTAATGAATGTCTTAAGACTATGTATAAAAATATTTCAAAGATAATACAAGTGGAGTTCAGTCTTAAGATATCTTTAATGTTTTTAACTTGCTTGAGTTCTGAAATGAACAAATCATCCTTTCAAAATTGAGTTGTGGGTTTACTAAGTAGTTTGCTGTATCAGCTTGTCTCATGTTACATATAAAATAATTTTATGTTGTTTACTGCCTACACAATTGACAGAACCACTGAGTGGGTAAGGTTGTAAGGGACCACAGTGGGTCATTGGGTCCAAGCTCCCTGCTCAAGCAAGGTTGTCCTAGAGCACATGGCACAGGATTGCATCCAAATGGTTCTTGAATATCTCTAGTGAAGGAGACTCCACAACCTCTCTGGGTAATCTTTAGTTCAAAGACTTTCCACTTTGCATTGCCCAGTTTTATTATGATCTACTTTCTGCTGAAAACTCTTTGGGAGGGAAAAAAAGCAAAGTGTCCTTCATCAGAAAGTCTTTTAAGCTGGCAAGTTAATTATGAATCAAGGTATCTATATAACATGATGAATGTTTATCTTGGATCTTTTCTTTCTAAATCACGTATATCACTTCTGCAACACTGTTCGCTTCTTACTGTTTTCTGCATACTATGCTTTCATTTTATTGGTGGTATGGTTTGAGGCCAAATACAGAATTTTAAAGGACTTTAAAATTAAATCATTTTAAAATTAAAGAAAATAACTAAAAGTGTAGTAGGAAGATAAATCCCACTCATCTTTTAAATTATATTTCAAAGTACACAGCTGTTACTAAGTATGCTGAGTCACTGGCAAAAATTTATTCTTGAGCATGCCTGTATGTTATGAAGTATCTTTTCAAGCTACCTGGTAACTTCAGAGAAAAGTTGAAAAAATTGATTGTTTTCCACTAGATTTGCAAATTAAAGTGACAGCAATGCCTGTCAAATTGATAAGACCCCAGGCTCACCCCACAAGCTCATCAAAGAGGTTTTACTTCAAAAATATACAAGGCTCCAAAAGTCCACTCATTGGATTTAAAAGGGCCTTCAGGTCTTTTATACCTTGCGAGAGTGCACACGAAAAGGTCCTGCACATTTTTCTCAGGAGGTCAAATAACACACTTTTACTGGCAAACTTTAGAAAATAAGGGAACTTCACAAAAGTTTAAAAGGCAGCATTCAACCAAAATAAAGCACTTCACAAAGCAGTGACTTAGCACCTGCTAGCCCATACAGCTTAGCAAAATCCAATCCATCTTTTAGTTACCCAAATATCAAGAAAGGAGATTAGGAGAAGTAAAGAAAGAGGGAGAAAAAGAGAGAATTACAGCTACTACCCCAGATCCAGCATAGATCCAGCTACCAGGAGTCCAGGAGATGGCAAGGTCATAATCATGCGATGGCTGCATGGTGCTGGTTTTACCTGCTCTGGCTGCCTGTGGCCACCCCCTCCAGGCAGGACTTCAGGCCCACTGTGCATTCCGGAGCTCTGGGGCCGAGTGAGGGGCAGTGCTGCCTTTGTGCCAGCCATTCTGGGGCTGGGTCAGGGGCTCCACGGGGTGTGGTGTGGGCAGTGCTCCAAGTGTGCCTGTGACTGACAGCTGCTCTGGGGGTCCCCAGGGAGAAGGCTCCAAGGGGCTGGGGTATGGGACAGGGCACTGCTCTACCTTCTTGAAATTCATCCTGTCTGCCCCCTCCCCCTCTCACACACACTTGAGATGGTCCGAGCCAATAATTAATATAATAATCCAGTGTCTCACACAACAGTCCATGATTTTTTTTTCCAGCATAAATGCTGTTCTCTTCCATTTTTACAATTGCTAACTTCTTAGGTGACAGTATCCCTGGAGTGTGGGTACTGTACATCTGATTGCAAAAATGGGTTTAACATCTAACATTCACCTACAGTACACCTGAAGCAAAATCAATTCTAATGTATTTATTTGTTCTACCAAACACTTATTTTCTTAGAATACATAAATTTTCTTAGAGTACATTCTCAGAAGTATGCAGTGAAACATAAAAGCTGCAAAAGAATAAGTATTCATAGGATTAAGTCAACTTTTAAGATGCTGGAGAAGAAATAACCCAATGTTTTTGTGGACAATGAAGGCTTCACTCTTTGCAAAGTAAGCTACACATTTTTGCTCTTTTTTTGTTTTGTTTGAATAGTCTTTTTGTTGCATATATTAAGTAAGATATATTCAATGGTGACAAGAGGATATTTGGATATTCTTACTGAAAGGATTTACTGAAATGAATGCCATGTTGCCTTGGTGGGGAAAAACAAGCAAGCAAACAACCTCTTTCAGAGTATCTTACTGAAAAATTTATATGAAAATCAGGGAGCAGTTCTTTGAAGAGGGAGCAATTAGTATTGTTACTATTCTATCCTGAAAGTATAAGCCACAAGTTACTTTTGTTTTAACAATAGGAATGACAATTAAATTGCATTAACTTGTTTTAATCTCAGTTTGTTTGGTAGTTAATAACTGTAGTGATGCATTTTTCCATATTAGAAAGGTAGCAACAGTAATATTTCTGCCTCCTTTCATTGTGTCTGTTCACATTTTTGATTCATCTTCAAGGGAGAATGGAGAATACATTGAAAAGATGAAAGTCTGTTAAATGTTCAGAGTAAGAAAGTTGACAGGAATTGTAAAGATCCTAGCAAAACTTTGAAAGGAGCATATGGAATATTAAACGCTTCTCTTTTTCTTAGAATTTATGTATAAAGGTCCAGGCAGTTTCTTTGTGCATCAGGATCAGATGCAGTGTACTTGCCTTCCTCAACAGAAAATTTTGCCACACTCACAGAAACCTGTTATCTGAAAAATCCAAGCCCAAAAATCTTGTTACCTCATGTTATTGCCTGAATCTTGTACATTATTCACCTCATATTCAGACACCTTTGTGATAAAGTAATTTGTAGAAGTCTATTATAATCTGCTGCTGAATTAATGCTGGTACCATTATGGTACTATTGGTACCATTTTTTGATTTTGTTTTAATTTTAGAGCTGGAATCTGTCTGTCAAGTGAGCAAAGAGGTTGTATTTAGCCAGAGTGCCTTGGTCACTTAAAGGCACTTGGTCCTTGTTGTGGTTTAATTTCAGCCAACAGCTCAGCCCCACACAGCTGCCCACTCACTTTCTTCTGTGGGATAGGGAAGAGAATCAGAAGGGTAAAAGTGAGAATACTCGTGGGTTGAGATAAAGACATTTTAATAGGGAAAGCAAAATCTGCACATGCAGACAAAGCAAAACAAGGAATTCATTCACCACTACCCATGGGCAGGCCCAAGTTCAGTTATGCCCAAGACAGCACGGCTTCATCGTGCATAGTGGTTGCTTGGGAAGACAAGTACCATCCCTCTGAATGTATCCCCAGCTCTATAAACTGCGCATGAGGCCAGATGGTGTGGGATATCCCTTTGGTCAGTTGGAGTCAGCTGTCCCAGCTGTGTCCCCTCCAAGCTTCTTCTGTATCTCCAATCCCTTCACTGGTGGGGTTAGGTTAAGAGCAGAAAAGGCCTTGGCTCTGGGAAAGCACTGTGCAGCAGTAATGAAAATGTCCCTGTGTTATCAACAGTGTTTACAGCACAAATACTAAACATAGCCCCATACTAACTGATGTGAAGGATATAACTCTGCCATTGCCATAACCAGCACAGTCTTGTAATGTGATCTTGGGCTATCATACATACCACTAGGCAAAACTTACTTGATAGCTTTGCTGTTGCAGTTACTAATATAATGCAAGGTTTTCTTTCTGCAGAAAGTAACTGTTTGTTATAGTTCAGTTTTATTTTATGTACACATTTTTAGTAGTCTTTGTTTTGTGTTAGGTCTGACAACTCCTTTTTCAAAAAAAAAAATGTAGCTGCTTTTTAGTGAGGTTATTTGAGATAACATAAGGCAGACTGTATGTTGGAGCAACTGATACCTCAGAACAGAAATTAAAGATTTACAGAACCTGCTTGGACTATAGACAAGCTGATTTCCTTATTAGTGGAAAGACAAAGACATGCTCCCTCTTCTTTGACTGATAACCCTACTGCCTTCTGACTACAAGTTCTGGAATAAGTTCTTAGGCTTTGTCATTCGTTGACTTAGCAAGAGAAGTTGGTTCACCTTTCTGCTAGATTTCTCTTATGTTTTAGAGAGTTAAATCAGCTCACAGAAGGATCAAACAAATCACAAGGCTAACAGAAAGTAAGTACCAGAAACATGCAGTCAGAGGCAGGAATTCTCTGTTTCTGGTACTGAGTGTGAGTAATACAATGAGCTCACTGTATCTTAAGGATTTGTAGCTGAAGAGCTCATTTAGCTGCATTCTGAATGAGTGGGCAATTGAGTTTATGACAGGTCACATAGAAGGGAGAAGAGACATATTTTACTGAAGTCTGTTTTAGCTATTAATCATTTAAGACAGCCTGGAAGGTGTTCAGAACAGTTTGAAATAATTTTATCAATTACATCATCAAAGATGCTTACATTCTTCACATGTAAAGTAAAAATTAATGCGTAACTATCTCACCTCACTGTTTTGAACAAAAAATATTCGTTGATGCTCTTTATCTTTTTGATGAAGTGGGTATGATAATGGCTCTGTAAAAGGGGAGTGTATTGCTTCACAGAGACAAGCTGGCTTGTGGTTAGGATTTGTGTTTGTGAAGAGGATTTAGAATCAAGGGCCTTACATCCTGATGCAACTGTTGGACTTTGTGCAAATCATTTCTGATTTCTGTTTCAATTTCTTGTGTATGAGGTATGAGAAGCTTGTCCCATAAAAGTAGTTGTGAAGATAAATTTAGTAATGAATATTGGGTACTCAGATAGCATGGCTATGAGATCACTGAAGAAAATCCAATACGTAATCTTGTTAAAGAGCACCTTTGTTAAACATTATTATGTAGCTCTTGATACGTATCTATTAGAACAACCCATTTTGGTAACCACATGTCAAGATTTCCAAAGCAATCTAGGCAATTATAAGTGCGTATTATTTTCCAACTTAGTGAAAAGTATATTAAATCACTAAGATCCATTTAAACATCTCCATCTGGGTGTTAATGGACCTTGAATTGCATAAAAGTCATGTGTGATCAGTATCTCAAAGGGCAAAGTTTCTTTTACAGTTTGATTAAAGGAATCTATTTTTAAAGGCTAACAGTGATAGCAATACCTGAAGGTACTAAAAGGATTTCACCTTCATATCTAAAACATCACATCTGACCTTAATCCTGCTGCTATTAATAGTTAGTAAATAGTGAATTTGTATTCCTACAATTTTATGTTTCATTTGAAACCAATTTGAAAATAACCAATATAAAATATAAACAATAACAAATCCTTAGTTGTTTTCATCCTGGTGTGTCAGAATGAAATATGGATACATATGGCTATATATTACACTTATTTAACAAAGTGAAGGAAAATACAAGTGTTTACATCTGCTGTTGATGGGCTAAGAACTTAAAATTTTGAGCTTCATATCAGTGGAAAAACAGATTTACTAAGGAAAGTATGTTGAAAGGTTAAAAAAAAATACATACGAACATTTTGCACATTCTTGGGCAGGAAAAGCACAAGATGCACCTGTGGTATACAGGGCTTGGGAAAGTCCTATTTAATAGGCTTAATTGTGGTCTGTATCTTCATTAATTATCTCCCATGTCTAGGGAGGTTCTCTAGTGGTGTTTCATTTAGTAAAATATCTGAAACTATAACTAACTGTAAGGAGAAATATTTGGAGAAAGACCCCAAAGGTAGCAGAAAATGTAAACATTGCTGTCATGGCATATTTGACACAATTATCAGGGTTTGCAAAAAATTGTGGACGAAAAATGTTTTTGTGGTGTTCTACAGATTTTTTTTTCTAGATGACTGTAGCATTGGCAGTAGTGCCAGCATATATGGACAAATGGTTATAAGTGAGCAAATGAACTGTAGTCACAGCTTTTAGGAGAGCACTGGCTTCTGTTCTTGCATATTATCCAGGTGAGTGAAGAAACAACAGTGATCCCATATTTCTTTCCAGCTGGATGAGATTGCTGTACCATTCAAGAGATCAAGATCATCAGCCTTTCCCTCCATCACTGCCTAAGAACTGGGCACCCATTTAAGGCACTTCCCTAAATCTTCCCAATCTAGCCAGCTTTCCCCCACTAAGTATAGGCTTCATTCTGTATAATAGTCTGACAATGGGCTAATTAAATACATTATTATACTTTTAAGTGCCAAAAAACAAGCAGTATCAATAGTGAAAAAAAATTGAATTTCAAAAAGTCTTACCTCTTTCATCATTTCAGTGGCTGTGAAGACAGGACCCTAGATCTTAATGACTATTTTGAACTCTGTGTAAAATCAGGTGATTCAGGCCACAAATTAATACAACGTTCAGGGAGCTTTTAATCACAAAATTGTCTTTAGGAATAGTATTGAGTTTTAGTCTATTTTCAGACTGAGCTAGGGCAGGCTTCTGGAGGTCACGTATAGCTTGTGGCATTTTAGTTTATTTTATTTCTGTTGTTTTAAAAACCATAAAGGATTATGAATCCTCTGTCATAATAAATATTAAATCTTCAGGAAAACACGTCTACTTTTGAATTATAAGGTTATTCCTTTAATTATACTGGCAGTGACCATTTGATAATACTTGTTTCCAGTAAGGTTATTAAGATTTAATGACAATATAATTTTCTGTGCACGTGGAACTTTAGCTAGTTAGCTCCTTTATTAATGTTGCACAAAACATTACATCTGAGCTCATTTGTATTATGTATGTGGTTCTGCATGGCTGGTAAGAATAAAAATTAAAGGCTGTCATTCAGTCAAGGGCAAATGGTAGTGAATATGCCACAGAAAAAAACCTTTCACGTCCTTTTTTCAACCAAAACTGAATTTTCAAATGATTCTTTTAATCTGAGTACTAACTTAAAAAAAGTAATATGAAAGGTGGTGAAACTCATTTGAAAACAGAGCAAGCATAAAAATAAAAAGATTTTTTTAAAGGGTCATTTTTCCTCTTTGAAATATTAAAATATTCTCCTCGGAAGCTCTCTAGATTCTTTAAGGATGTTCTCACCATCTGGTACACGCAGGTGTGAGTTTTCCTTGTGTTTCAGAATGGAGAATAGGACACCCAAGCTCACAGTCTGGTGTGCGGGGCACAAGACTACTATTCACCATTCAGATGCAAGGAGAATTCAGTTAAATACTTCAGAATTATACTTTCCATTCTTGGAATCAGAGCAGAATAAGGCTTTAAACAAATTTTTGGGAGTAGGGAGAAGTGTTTCTTTTCCTACCGGTTGGTTTTCTCAACCATCCATATATGTGGTTCAGGATGCTTCAGCTTGGCAGGTGGGAAATGTGTGAGCTGTACTAGTAAAGATAATTTCTTGTCTGTGGTACTAAGACACCCTGAGGGAAAAGTGTAACTTAAGAAATTGGAGATCAAACCTTCTAATGAGACTGTATTTTTACAGTGCTAAACATTCTCTTAGAAAGAGGAGGAACTCAGATGAGAGGTTGAGCAGTTACTGAAAGACAGGCTTATAGTGAAATAAGTGCAGCAGCCATCATCATATTTACCAAAAGTGAGGAGAATTGAACCATGGTGTTATTAGCAGGTTTGTGATTAAAGGAGCCAGATGGTCCTTTCATAAAAATAGTACCTGTACCTGTAGCTTCGTAAGAGCCCCTGCCATTAGACATGTGAATCTGTAGACAGTAGAGATTCCTTGAGAAACCTTTTCCTGTAAATATCTTAGATGTGGATTTGAATTGTAGTGTTGATACTCTCCCTTTTGTTTTGGTTTGGTTTTCTCTGCTGCTTCTATTCACATGGTATTTACACAGCGGTTTTTCACTTCTATTTGTCCTTCGTTTTTATGAAGACCACAAGGGTCTTGTTGAAACTGCTGTAGCAAACTCTATTCAGCTGGTGTTGGCAGAAATAATTATATACATCACTTGTGCTTTCAAATGTTTTCATGGTAGCAACCAATTATTTATATCACCAGGTAGCTGACTAGTGGTGGAGAGGTCATTTGTCCTGGAAAAATCTGATCAAATTGATGTGCTTCTTTGTAGTATATTTGAGACTTATTCTATTGTAGATATTTTTTTGTTCAAAACCTTTAAGTGTATCCTGAGGAGAGTATTAAAAGGATTGTAAAGAATCAGACACAGTTCACTGCAAATACAAGAGCTTAATATAATGCACTGTTTACAGCTTTTTTATTGGGAAAAAATAAAATTGAACAAAATGTCCAAAGGGCCTGGACAGCTCATCATGAAAAATGTCAACTTCAATCCTAGTAACCAACACCAAAAGTCGCCTGCTGCTTTCAACCCACTTCATTAGTATCGCATTGGAAAGAAACACACTTATAGAATTCTGCCTCTTTCAATCTTTAATCTGTGTTACAAAAAATCTCCTCTCCTTCGTACATTGTAGCTCTTTATAGATCTTTTGTATATGATGGCACTTGTCCTCTGAAGCTCATTAAGTTCCTTTATAGCTTTGCAGTCCATCATTAGCCTTTTTTAAATCTTTTGTACATTGTTCAAATTTGATAGCTTTTTTTTTAAACTAAATAAACTTCCACTTTCTCAAATTTGGTTCTTTGCAAGAAGTGGTTACATCTATAAGGACTTAAATGTCTAACTTGCTTTAAGCACTGTTTGTTGTTTTTATTCTTTCTTTAATAGTGCTTATATTTTCTACTCTTTTCTTTAAGTATTTTTAATACTTTACATATAGTTTGTGTTTACATATTTTTACTGACTAATAATTCTTTTATGTTCCGAGTTAGGAATTTGAATAAGCAGGTATTGTTGCTGAGAATATTCATATAGTTTGTCAACGGAAGTCCAAACCATGAATTGGACTCTACTGTGTTTGCTTTTTTATTCCTTGCTTCAGTTAACTCTTTTATGAACAAAATGCAGACTAAAATTACCAGTACAGCCAGGTTATATTAATACCCTGTGGAAAAAGACGTGAATGCATCCAAAGATATTGCTCTTCTACACAATGTTTCTTTTGAGGGGAAGTTTCGTATTCTTTCTTTGGCCATTGTAAGTGCTATTGGTCTCAGCAGTGGAACACAGACAGCAGGGCTGCAGATAGTAGATTATGGAAAACTCCTAGCCTACACTGTAGGAATGTACTTCTAGTATATGTATGGCCTGTACTGCTGTAGCACTTCCAGACAGTCTCCTCTGAGTGACTGTCATCTGTGGTGCATGTATGCCATAACCGTGCAGTGCTCAAAAGGCAGTACTCAGGAGAGGTCATTTAACCAACCAGACTAAAGCAAGGGTAAACAAATGAGAATTTAAACCATAACCCTGAGATCTGTGCATGAACTTCCCTTAATTTCTAAATTGTTTCAGAACCTATATTAAAAAGGTATTGCAGGTTTTCTGTTCAAGTTCTTAGACTATAGATTCTCAATACCATAGTTCCTTAAAATAATTTCTTTCAGTAGTCACTGAGCAATCTGACTAATTCTTATGATATGCTATCAACCTCTCATGGGGAGAGCTGTGGGCAGTGAAATGCGTTGTTTTGGTGGAAATTTTTCGTCTCCCACCCTATCCACCCCCTGTGTATTTTTCATGTTGCTATTCATTTTCCTTAAACAGCAGTATCAAGAAACTCAGTCATGTAGTTAGTGTGAGACAGTAAGATCTGTTATAAACATCATTTCCAGGACAGATTGATTCCAGTCAGCTGCACAGAGTGACAGAGTGGTGGGATATACACGTTTTGGTTTTGGTTTTTTTGGTTCATCAGACTGAGAATTTAACTTGTTTAATTATGCCTGCCTTGTGTTTTGAAGCATTCTTTTTATGATCCTTCCAAGCATTTCTTGCAATGGTATATTGCTCTGTATGAAAAATCCTTTTTTTTTTTTTTTTTTTTTTTCTTTTTAAGCAATGCTACTGAGGTTGCTAGAGAGCAACAGAAACCACAGAATCTGTATTTGGAAATGAGATGGTTGCCATGGTAATGATCCCAGCTGCTTCTTTTCTCAGTTGTGAAAATAATTTTTAGACTCCTATATTACAAGGTTAAGCTACAATGTTTTAAACTAAATGATATAGCTAATTGATTTAACATGAAGATTAACACATTGCTTATTAAAAATCTTTGGGCTGATAATCATCTGAAATTGTTGAATCAAATATTTGTGCAGGTACTTATCAAATATTTTTTCTGTTTGTTTTTGATCAGGTACTTGAGGTGAAACTGGTGCATTGAGATGGAAAATATTTTCATCTTACTGATTTTACTAAATGTGTTTTTTATAGTACAAATTATTCTGAAAGCTAACTGATACCTAGCTAAGTAGTGATTAAAATATGACTCATATTTTGCCATATGCCAAATCTGGATCAAACCTGAAATGTTAGATATTTTTAATGTTTATTGTCTCCAAAGCCCAGACAGTTGGTAAAGTGTTGGTTGTTTTGATGGTCTCTAGGCAACCTCACTTTGAACAGGACTATCACCAACACTTGTTCAGTTCAGTCATGCTGTATATAGCCAGTATTAAAAACCTCCAAGTATGGAGGTTCCACAACCCATCTGGGAAACCTTTTCCTATGCTCCACTACTCCTGGTGAACAAACTTTTCCAAATGTCCAGTTGGAATCTCCCAAGTCACAGGCTGTGGTCATTGGACTGCATTGATTTTAGACTATAGTATTAATCATGCTAAAGTCAAAAGCTTGGCAAGGTTCAGATGAATAGTAACATGCAGAGGAACCTTAGATAAGATAATCAGTGAACACTGGAAGGCACAGACTTCTCTGTTCCTAAGAGTATCAAAGAATCATTGTCCCTGGTGTAAAACTCATAATTCCAAGAGCTCCTTGCAGAGTGAAGTATTACCTACAGGGTATTTGCTATGGGATGTAGGGGAAAGGACACTTTGGAATTGTTTAAAGGTTATTATGGAACACTTTTAATGGGACTGTAGGAGCGTGTGGCACTGTCTATGAAATGTTTAGAGGAAGGACCAAAGACTGGGAAAGGGAGGGATCCATGTAGAAAGGGGGTAAAAGCTTGGTTAGATTTCTTTGTTGACCAGTCTTTGTTGGCTGCTTTTCATCACCTTATCATCCACTGGTTTGGGGTTTTTTTCCTCTCATTTTCTGTGTTTTGAAATGTAGCTTAATCTTCTTTATTTCACTTAGCTTTTCCCCGTTTCAAAATATAGGCCCACTGAAATCCTCTGGGACCTCCATGACTTCTAAAAGGTCGTTGTAAATGGTTTGAGAGGACTTCTGCTTGTTCATAAGGTACCTATAGAATTTTATCTGTCCTTATCACTTGCTACTTAAACTTGCCACCTAACTACTTCAGTACCTTTGATATGCCTCCAGTCCTACTCTTTCATTAAAATTCATTTCATTAAGTATCTAATCACTACTTATGAAGTCTGCAACAAAAACAAAAAAAAATCAGTGTCATTTACCTGTCTCCCTCATTAAATAATAGATTTTTGGGTTTGATTTCTTGTTATGTCCAATACATTTACAGAATATTTGTTGAGTTATTATGTCCCCTGATAGCGGTAACCTCTTTAATCTTAACCTCGAATTTTATCATAAGCAGTTATTGTGTTATTTCTATACAGTCGCTCTTGGGATTTATCCTTTGATTCCACTCATATCCGAGGTGAGAGCTGTAACACCTTATATTAGACCGTGAATAATCCACTTTGCAGAGGAATCACACAGAGTGAAGACAAAACGGACATTTATTGAAGGGTAACTTTTTGAAGGTAGCTTTTATGTGGTAGGGAATGGAATGTGTGGAATTTGAGAGGAATCAAGGGAGGTTCATGCAAGGGAATGTTTATAAACGGAGAAATTGAGCTAAACACACCCAAATATGGGTAAGGAGAGATACAAAAAGGGAAAAAGCTATAAATTTTAACTATCAGGAGCCAATAGGCAAAGAGGTTACAATCAACGAATAGGAAAAGGGCTAATACTAATTTAAACTGCAGATTACATATAAAGTAAAATTTTTTCTAACAACGTTATTAATAAACTAAATAAACATAACATTTTAAAACATGAAAAGCAGTCTCTGAGGTAGGAAGTTATCTGTTGTCCAGTAGTTTAGCTGCATTCCAAAGCTGTCTTTTCTTCAGTTCTCCTTTTCTTCAGAGGTTTTTCTCCACCACAAATAGGCATCTTGTGGTGTACTTCCAACATACTGACTTGCACAACTTCATTTTTAAAGAACTTTTGAACCAGACCTTTTGAGCTCTTAGTATGGTTTCTGCCTTTCTTCATGAGAAATAGTTTGTCATTTCACCTTCATTATAATACCTTTTATTAATTGCCAGCCCCTTCAAAGCCCTGTCTCTCTCAGAGTCTTAGCGAGAAAAGATACAAAATGATTGCCTAAGTTTATTGATCTGACTTTTTTATTTTTTTAAAATATATTGTCCTTACAATGCTGCACATACTTTTTCTCAGAATCACAAATTCTACCATCTTAAGCTAGAGGTCACCTAAGCTGCATTCACACAAATATTCTACAACGGTTTTCAGCTGCAGTGTTTATATTTGGCAATTTCTGCCACCTTTAGAAAAAAACCAAGTCATTTACCAGATGTCCTATCATACTGTTTTTCAAAGCTACCTGATAATTTAAGTTTTTCATTACCACCAGTCCTACCTGTCAGCCAAGCAAACAATTATTTTGTAATGTCTTCCATGATGATGAATTTGGATGTATTTTTCAAGTTAGGTCCTACTTCAGTGTTTTTGTTGAAAGCAAATGCTTTTCAATTCAGTTAACTTTCTACACCTTTAGAATTTATTCTTGAGTTCAGCAGGAAGACATAAAGAATATGTTTTTAGTGTTTACTTCAGTTCTTGAAATATTTTCATATGAAATCTGAACAAATTTGCTGAACATTTGAAAAGTCAAATGTTTCTAAGAGTGAAGCATTTGTTCTGTTTTACATTCACTGAAAAAATATACTTTGGTTCATTTCCCAAATAATGGTTCATCTCACAAATAATGAATGTGTAAAAAGAGATTTAAGAGCTGTATTGAAAATAACCTTATGTGCAACATTTTTCAGCATTTAATAACTGCTTTCTGCATTGTCAGACAAAACAGATACTTCATATGCCATTGCCAGCTCAGAAGTTCAAGAACAAGTGAAAACTGTTACGAACACTTTTTTTTGTTAATGATCCTATACACAGATACCAAAGCGCATTTAGCCAAGGTTGCAAAGCAATTAAAAACCACTCAAAGTTGCAGAAGTATTTCTATGGCCCAATGTGCTGGCTTAAAAGTAAACCAATGGCAGAAATGAAACGAACTCAAGAGAGATTACAAATCAGAGTTACAATTTACTAAAAAGGTTATGATAAATACAATTCAGAGAATAGATACAGAGATACAAAGAAAACTCATTTTAACCCCTGAAGACAGACAAGAACAGAATGGTGTTCGTTAGCCCCTGTGCTGAGCATCATCTGGCTCCCTGGGGGTGATGTAAAAGGAAAGGAAACCTGTTGGTCCAGATGATGGTGGCAGTTCTGTCGAAGTAATGATCTCAGTCTTATCGAGAGTGGCTGTTGCAGTCCTGTTCTGGTCCTCCTCTGGATCCAACAAGTACCAGAAGTCCCAAAACCCCAAGATTATATATACTCAGGTTCAGTTTGGAATGTCCAGTACCTTCCCCAGGGCAAGGAGTTTCACAATGGGTGATTTAACTCTAGGAGTCATGGGATATTTTTGGAATCTTTGATGATCTAGGTCTTGCAGCTGCCTATTATGCCAATCCAGTATGATCCATTAGCAGAGATGACCCCTCAGGCTGAGTGCGAAGGTGCTAATGCCTCCCTGGAGAGGAGTTATCACAGCTGAGTCATTGGTGTGAAGACAAAGAAATACTCCCCTGCCTCAGCTTGTAGCCTGAGGTGTCAAGTGTGCCCTGGGCAGCTGCTGCAAAGGATCCATTAGTAACAGTCCATCAGAAATTGCAACCATGAAACTTCTTTCAGGATACTCAGTGAGCCCTTTGTTATGTGTTTTATGTGTTTTGTGTGGTTTGACTTGTTAGAACTTTGTCTCTTGAGTTCCTCAGTATGCTGAACAACTTTCTTGCATGAAAGTTAGCATTTTACATGTTTCTGGCAACCATACAAATCCTTTTGAAGGTCCTGGGTATGCAAATTGCCAGCCTGTGTCAAAGATTTCCCTGTAATTACAGAGTCCATCTTGGGCAGTGACCATGAAATGAGAGATTTTTCAGTTTTTGAACAAGTAAGGAGGTAGAGCAGAACTGCCTTCTTGGACCAGAGAGCAGACTTCTGTTTGACGGAGTCCCTTGGGAGGCAGCTGAGAAGGGCAAAGAAGTCTAGGAAGTCTGGACGTTCTTTAAGAGGGAAATCTTTAAGGTGCAGGAGCAGGCCATCCCTATGTGCCAAAAGATTAGGTGGCAAGGAAGACCTGGCTGAACAGAGAGCTTGGGCTGGAACTCAGGGAAAAAAGGAGATTTTGTGACCTTTGAAAGAAGAGGCAGGAAGTTCAGGAGAACTACAAGGGTGATGTAAGATTATTCAGGGATAAAAACAGAAGTGTTAAATCCCAACCAGAGTTTAATCTGACTAGTGCCCTAAAAGACTATAATAAAATAAATAAATAAAAACTATTTCGGTAAATACATTACCAGCAAAAGGAAGGCTGAGGATAATCTCCATCCTTTATTGGATGCAGGGGTAAAGAGTGACAAGGGATGAGGAAAAGACTGAGGTGCTTAAAGCCTTCTTTGCCTTAGTGGAAAATTTATAGCAAGATCAGTTGTTTTTGGGGTACCCAGCCCTATGAACTGGAAGGCAGAAATAGGGAGCAGAATGAAGCCTCCCTAACCCAATGACAAATGCTCAGCGACCTGCTGTACCACTCAAACTCAAGTCTGTGGGACCAGGTGGGATACACAAGAGGGTACTGAGGGAGCTGGCTGAAGAGATCACTGAGCCACTGTCCATCATTTACCAGCAGTCCTGGCTAACCAAGGAAGTCAAACGTAATGCCCATTTACAAGAAAGACCAGAAAGAGGAGCCAGGGATCTAATGGCCTGTCAGCCTGACCTTGGTGCTGGGGAAGGTCATGGTGTAGAAGGTCATCTTGAGTGCCATCATACAACACATAAAGGACAACCAGGGGATCAAGCCCAGACAGCATAGGTTTGTGAAAGGCAGGTCATGTTTGACCAGCCTGATCTCCTTCTATTAAAAGTTGAGCCACTCAAGTGTATGAGGGAAAGGCTGCAGATGTTGTCTACATGAACTTTAGTAAAGCCTTTGACACAGTTTCCCACAGAATTCTCCTGGAGAAACTGAATTCCTATGGTTTGGATGGGTGTAGTTTTGCTGGGTAAAAAGCTGGCTGGATACCTGGCCCAGAGAGTGGTGGTGAATGGTGCTACCTCCACTCAGTGGCCGATCATCAGTGGTGTTCCCCAGGGCTCAGTTTTGGGGCAAGTCTTGTTTGATATCTTTGTCAGTAAGTCTGCAGGTGACAAAGTTGGGTGGGAGTGTTGATCTGCTGCAGGGCAAGAAGGCTTTGCAGAGGGATCTGAACAGGCTGGATTAACAGGCCATAGAGTTACAGAGAACTTGTAAAGAGTCTTTCCACATAGGAGAGCCTGAATTGAAAAAATTCAGATGAATGTTTGCCAGTTAAAGCTGAGCAGAATTAGAAGGATAATTAAAATTTCAGAATACTGTAGAGAAGGAATATGTGGTCATTAGGCCAGGAAAATAAGTATTTTAATTAAGTCTAACAATAAGGCTAACAATGTCATTGTAGCAATGCATTATTTTGAAATCTCTACATGATCAAATCAAACTAATGTAAAGTAGTCTGACCTCAAGATCACTATCTAATTTTCAAGGTTACAAAATTATTTTCACAATCAAGAGCGGGGAGAGTTATGCGAAGATTTTAATTGCTTTTTTCAAAGTTTTCAACTACAGAAATAGATGCTTTTTCCGAGCATGAGTGAATGAATGCTGATGCCCTTTCCTCTCTCTCTTCTAATTAAACACTTCCCACTTCAATTCTGCTCTGCCAGCTCTGATGAAAGTTTGGAAGTCAACAAAGAAGCAAACAGCAAGAAGGTAAAGAAAAATCGAAATATGGGGGAGGAGATAAACAGTGACGGAATGTGTGGCAATCAAAGGCACAAAACAAAGATGTACCCTAATTTATACCAGGGTGATGAGAGGCCTATCAATAAACAACACTAGGTATCAATACGGACAGAGTGGAAAGGTACCCTCCTCTACCTTTACTTAGCATACTATTTCACCAAGATCTTTATCTGTTCAGAGAAATTTTATTATTTCATAATCTACCATACAATATTTTCAGGCCCTTGCAAGGCTTGTAAAACTTGGTACTAACCATAAATTACATATTTTCAAACACACAAATATCAGAAATTCCCTAAGCTTCATAATGCTAAAAGCAGAGTAGCTCTGTGACTGACCAGTGACAGGGAGAAGATACTGTTCTGACTTTTTGTGGCCATCCTCCTGTATAATAAAGCATTGCTTGTACTTTAAAAGTGAAGACAAATATCACTGAGTTTTAAATGTTACAAGGAAACAAATCCTCACATGTGGATCCTCACTGAGGATGAAGTATTGAAGAAGAAATTATGATTTTTTATGAATCCTGAAGTAGAACTTGCACAGGACTTAAATGGTCCATCAGTTTTAATTGTGGTTTGTTTCAAGGGTTCCAGAGTGGATCAAGGAGCTCAAAAACTTAAGTGTTGGCTCATCTTTAAAGGGCAAATGCTAGATTAGACACCATGTAAAGGCCATGCAGACAGACAGTAGAACTTTCAGATCCATAGCAACAATTAATTAATTCATTACAGTTGTGACCTGAATTAATGTTAATTAACTACTGTTAATCCACATAAACTAAAATACAAACCTGTTGACCAGCCTGTTCTATTTTTTTATTTATTTTATTTTTTTATTTTTAATTTTTTTATTTTTAGAGCTCTGAGACACTGCTTCTGATTCACTCCTGTTAAAATATGAAGCAACAACAGAGTTTATGGTTGGATTGTTCCTAATAATTAAAAATCAAGTTGTCTCTGTGCAATTTAAATATGACTAGCAGTATAGGTTCTTGTTAATTAATCTATGCAAAATGACATAGTAAATTTGAGCATCTGCCTGTGTCTATTTAAGCAACATAAGTAATTTACTGAACTGAAACTTCTTCATGATTCCCCATCACTGTGTCTGTTGATTAATTAAGGAAATATAATTTAGTAACGATGTCATTTTAATCATTATGGAAGAACTTTGCACTTTATAATTCATACATACTTACTTACAAGTGTCATATGTCAGAACAAAGTCCAGTAGAATAAGCACAGTGTGAAATAAGGAATATGCAATTTTGCTGTGTTTGTGATAGCATGTTGGAACTGATTTATTCACTTGGACTTAAGTAGCAGGCAAAGTACAACTGTAGAGAGTGAGCTCATTTATTTGTGTTCTTCCTTGCCAGTCTTCACTTCCAAGAGGTAAGGTGTGTGCCCAGGGATGTTTTCTTTGGGTGCTTTCTTAATACTTTATATTACCAACTTCTACTCTGGAAATAAACAGATATGTAAATAACTTCAATGTTATGAAAAAGAAAAATGAAAGATGAAACTGTTCAAAAAATAACTCCAGGTTGAAGGTCAAATTTCATGAACTTTAATTATGCTTGTGGGTTAAGTTTTTATTTCAAGTAATTTAAAATTTAATAATTATTAATAGCAACAATAATAAGAGCTTTCAGGGAAAAGGATACGTGACAGTAGGAAATACAGGTACAGCAAACTTAAATGCTTGAAGGGAAGCACTGTGCCAAATTTCATGGAAGGTAGTTTTCCAGTTTATTATGATCCTAATGTCAAATGACCAACTTTGCATAAAATAGCAAATTATATGTTAATAGTAAATCATAGTTATTGCTGAATAGTTTTAGGTAGCGTAGAAAATTCTGTTTTGCTGGTGTTTTGTATGGTAAGCATAAAACTTAAGTCTCAAACCTGAGCTTTATTACAGTGATTTATCTTGAACATTTTTTAAAAAAATATGCTGAATATTTTTTCACTCTGGAAAACTGCTTGCTGAATCTGCTACTAAGTCATTAGATTTATAAGGAATGTGGTCTTGTTGCAACATAAGCCACTGTGGAGGATATTGTCCTCTGCAGACTGTGTGCTGACACTGGCAGGAAATAAGCTCTGACTGAAGAGCTGTTTGCTAGATCTATATCCTGCCTTCAGCACAGTCACTGTGGGGAGCCCAGTCCTCATAAATGAAATTAGGAAAAAAATTTTAAAAATTAAAAATTTTGGCTGTAGACTAAGTAAATGTGTCCTCTGAGAGTATAGGAAACATTTGTTATCCTGATTCAGTCTAAACTGTCATTGATACAGAAACTCCTCTTCAGAGAATCTGGGATTTGCTGAAGTGAGGACCCCAGGACTTAGTCTAGTAATAACCTAATCCTTCTTGCTGTATTGGATGGAGGGTTACAAGTTCTGTACCCCAAAAGGTGGATAAAATGAAGCTCAAAACTGTTTTAATTCAGTATATTGCACTCTGGGTTTTGGAGAGGCTAAAGGAAAGTTCTTTTTGATTTGTTTATTGAACTTTTGGGTTTTTAAATCTGATTTAAACCTGTGAGCTGTTATTTAAACCTGTAGATAGAAATTCACAAAAAGCATAGTTCAGCTGTGCTTAAGTGAGTTTTCCAGTGCATGGAAACATACTCAGCACTAAGAAAACCATGTCTTTGAGTACTGTTTGAACTACAGACAGTCAGCAGAGCTAATGTTACTGTTTCTGCCAATTTTATCATTGGTGTCTTGCTGTAGTTTGGACTCAGGGAATAAGACAAATTCAACTCTGATGAATATAAGATGTGCTTTTTTCTTTTGTCATTACATTACTCTTGATAGCTTTTTTCATTGCCCAGCATGGCACAAGGTGACAGAGGTGAGAGATGTTCTAAGTGTCACAGCACAGAGCTCTCTGTCACAGGAATGACTAGTCAGAAATGGGGTATGAGACACCAGGAAAGGAGAGGTACCTCAAAGATGGAAGAAGCCAATTATGACAGATCCCTACTATGCTGAAGCTAGGTATTTCAAAGCCTTTCTCCTTCAGGATTTCCGTACTAAAAGTCCTAAATATTTCCATTTTTGGCTCTAGTCTGTGTTACAGTTCTGTATTTCTACAAGAGGACTGACTCAGAAGGAAGATGCTGTTGACGAGCTCAGCAGGATTTATGCTGTTCTTGCTCTCTCAATGCACTGTGTCACTGAGCACCGAAGAGGCAGTGGTCCTGGCTAATGCCCACCTTCTCCCCCAAAGAGACCATGAGAGACTGGCTAACGCCAATGAAAAAGGTACTCACGAAGACAGTGAGAGATTTGGATGCATGCTGTGTTTTACTTTGTTGCTTTGCTATAACATTTTCAGCTGATGTATTTGAAAGTTAGCCCTGAAAAAATAGTTTGCAATATGAACATGTCCTGCCACAAAGCCCCAAATCTTTAAAAACCTTGCTTTACAGCCATCTAATTAAGAGAAATTAACGTATTGTTTGTTTTATGTGGATTTTTGTTGTTGTTTTGTTTGGTGGGTGGGTGTTTGGTTTTGTTTGGTTGTTTGTTAGTTGGCTGGTATTTTTAAATAAAATTCTATGACATTTGAAGACTTATTCTTAGAACAATCATACCTAGATTACATCTTACCACAGCTGGTACCTATAACTGAGGTAACCCTCTGCCTACCTAGCTTTCAAGATCCAGCTTGGTAGGTTTTTAATACATTTACCAGAGTAGACCCCACATAAAATGTACACAAAGAATAGTGGGACTGATTAATTTTCATCCCCTGACTAATGGCACTTCAGGATTTATAAAATTCACTTTCCAAGTTAATCTTATAACAATCAGCCTAAATAATGTTCTCATTATCTGTCTATAGAAATTGTTCTGTAATGTTCAGTGAGAGGGGTAAATACAAGTGTCACAGTGTATATCACTGACTTGGACATAACTATATACATGACTTAAATAATCCTTCTATAAAATCATGGGATCAGGTTTGGAGGCAGGCAGGCAATGTCTACCAGGCAAATGTTCTAACAACTGGGGTACAGAGTTGCGTACACACGCCTGCTCTTTCAGGATATTTAATAATGTCATGCAGATAGTACTGAAATTTAAATTTATTCTATTCATGGCTGTAGATTTTATTAGGAAATGAAAGGTAGAAAACTTAAAACCTCAGAAATCCTATATACTCCTGTAAATCTGTCCTGAGTGGTTTAGAAGTATCAATAAACTTCCAAATATCAAATATAAAAGACTATATTGAATAATTATTTAACAGGTTTAAATAATTAATTATTTAATAATTAATTATTAAAGAATTAATCTAATTAATCTGGATTTCTACAAAGCATACGATGCAAAACAATATTAAATCAGAAATGGTAGAGCTACATTGAGGTTGAAAAGAAAATGACAATGAGTTGGGTAGAAAAGTAAGCCATAAAGTCAAGGTGAGACTGGAAGTATTTGCTTATTAGTGATCTTTTCAATATTCTTACGGAGTATACCAGTGCAGAAATAGGAATATGATGACAGAATTTAATGATACTATGAGGAGAGAAATGCAAATAGAAAAAGTAGGAATATTATGTAGAAAACCCTACAGGTGTTTTTAAGTAATACCACTGAGAAGAAAAATACAGTACAAAATTTTAGGTTTTACTGCAAGGTGAGGACCTTACCAGTTTCAAAGAACCAAACTCCAGCTTAAAGAAAAGCTAAGCAGTACAAATGCAATCCCAGAAAATATCAACAAAGATGTTTTAGAAAGACTTTCAAAGAATCAGAGTTACTGTATAAGGCCATCTGCAATACTGTGTGCAAATTATACCCACATTCTAGGAGATTATGCAATGAAGAGGTGAAGAAAAGCTACTAAGACAAAAAAAGAACTGACGATTTGTCTTAGATGAAATAATAAAGGAAATTACTTATCCTAACAACTAATCCGAATAAAACAAAGACTTAGTAAAAATAAAGTTTTTGTCATAGTACATGGGGGCTTATTACCCAGGAAGAAGCACTTATTTAATGAAAAGAACACTGGGGCACAAGAAAGATGAGGATGGACAGTGGAAGCCATTAAAATTAGATTGGGAACCAGATGAGGAATTCTATCAGAGTAGTGACAGTTACTGAAGTCTACAATGCTTTTCAGTTGGAAGAGAAGAAATTTAATTATTCTGTGAGAAGACTATGATATAATTTCCTATAGGACCAGTAGTAGATAAAATAGTCACTCATGGTCCCCTTTTCTTTCCAGACAGTTGGGGGCACTTTTTGTTGTTGTTTTTGTTTGTTTGCTTTTTACACTAACCAGACTGTTCAGTGTACTTTTGATCTGTTGGTCATGAGACCATACAAGACCGCTTCTGTTGTATCATGGGGTAATGAACCTCTTTTTGTGTTTCTGAACACTTGCTGCATCTTCTGTCCTGAAGTCTTCCCCCTTTAGCTGAGTGAGTGCCAACCACCTGGGATGAAGTCAGAGTCAGCTTCCAATCAGAAAGCAATCATTCACTCATTCTAGAGGACAGAGTTCAAATTCTAAAATTCATTATTTGAACAGAAATTTACTTTAATTATTTCTTTTCTCAGACTATCCAAGAGATTGTTTTGAGATTTTTCAGCGCTCCAAAGGAAATTCCAGAGATGGTCTTTACATCATCCAACCAAAAGAGGACCCTATTGTTGTCTCTTGTAACATGCAGGATGGTGGCTGGACAATAATCCAGCACATTACTGCCAACAGTACTGTCGACTTTGACAGGACCTGGCAGGACTACAAATATGGATTTGGCTCTGTTCATGAGAACCACTGGTTAGGAAATGAATATATGCATCAATTAACTAGCAGCTCTGTGCAATATATACTTGGAGTTAAACTTGTAAACCTAAATGCTGAAATTAAATGGGGACAGTATGAACCATTCCTTATTGAAGGTGAGGAGTCTCAATACCGCATTAGGCTTGGTTTATACAAAGGTAATGCCACTGATGCACTGACCCTGGACACAGAAGCTTATCTCCATGACAACCAGAAGTTCACCACCAAGGACAGAGACAATGACAATTACTTTCTGAATTGTGCTAAACTGGAACTCAATGACATTCCTGGGGGAGGCTGGTGGTACGACGCGTGTGCTGGAGCAAATCTAAACCGTAGGAACATGATATACTGGCAAAAAGACTGCAACAAGCAACGCCTGTGCAAGTTTGCGTGGATGATGATCAAACCCATTGAGCACCACCTCTCATATCCATCAAAGTCCTGCCCGTGTCAGAAAGTTGAACTGTAGATAAGCTGTGTGTACTTTGGAAGGAACATGGACTTTTTGTGCAGTGACTGAAGTGAACTCACTGACTCAACAATCACACTAAGTAAACATGATTGAAAATAAATTGGGCCTCTGCAAGGGCTTTATGATAACATATCATCCAGGACTGGACCATGTCATAGAAATATGCCAACCACACAAGTGAGAAACTGTCAGAAACGGAGGCCTCTACCACAAGATTTAAAGAACCAGAGGATTAAAAAAATCATTTTATAGTATTTTAGCCATAAGACAAGCCAGGTATGAAATCCAGGATACAATGTCTTATACAATATATACATGAACACAAATGCATTTCAGAAGGTTTTGTTCCAGTATCAATGTTCATGATTGATCTCCTATAATTTGCATATCTTCATATATCATGCATGAGAGAAATTTTCAGTGAAGTGCCTACATTTACAAATTGCATATTGAAGAGTATTGTGTACCATAGGGCAGCAACAGGCCTTTTCTTTCTAACTTTAGTGAACTGTATTTTAATTTATAAAATTGGAATCAGCCTTATCTCCCATGGCTTCTTTCCCCAATCACTGACTCTTCTTTTATTTCTACCTTTTAATGATCCCATACACATTGAAATAGTCAGCATAGGCTTTTCTTTTCTTCCTTCAATTTAGAGCACCCAGCACTAATGGGATTGTCAGCTTTGCCATTTAAAGTTACTAATCCAAAGCTTACAACCCATCTGAATTTTTCCCCAAGAAACTCAGAGAACACATTTTTTAAAAGATCAAATTATTTTGCAACTGTTTATTTATTGCTTCATTTTTTAGCCATCACTTCACTTTATTTATCATGATTTGACTGTTGCTTCTCCCTGTTCCATGATGTGCTTCAGCCTTCTCTTTTTTTAATACCGCTGTGAGAAAGAAGAGAACATAGGCTTTATTTCACATTTGCTTACCTTCAACTGTTTTGGTACTCAGACTTGACATTATTTAAACACTACCCTTTTTGTAATTATAAAATAAAAATTACATATTTTTCTGTTTTAAAATAATAAATAAAAGAATTTTAGCTTTGATAACCTCTAATATCTCGTTTTCTTTTACCTCTGTTTGAGTTCCTTCACACATTTCTGTACCATTGAAATAGCTAAATGATAACTGAGGAGGTTTTATTGTTTATCATGTATGTTTTCTTAGATATTTCAGTTACAGAAACTCAACAAACAAATACTGGCAAATTCCTGCTTTTTAATTTAAAATATGCTGAAATATAATTTCCATGAAAATTGCTTCACAGAAAATAAATCGTATTGTGTTTTGAGAAGACTATCAGGATTATTTAAGAAGAAAAATTATTTGGAAAGCAGAAAAGCCAAGAAAGCAATATTTATTTTTTCAGGATGCACTGCAACATTTTCAGAAAGAGATACAGATATGTTACGTGGGTGAGGCTGACATAGTATACGTCAATTTTGCAGCATTTGACTTTTCTCTCCCCTGAATTTGTGTTCAAAGACAGAAGCGTGATACAGAAAGAAAGAGTACCTGAATTGAGTTTACATCGTTGGGTTAATTTAATGTGGGTTCTGCTGTAACTCTATCAGGATACCTCCAAAGTTGTAATGAGAATACAAGAAAATCACCTGAGTGCTGCCAGTCTCCCTTAGCTTTTATTTGAATTCCTGGTCATATAGCCAGATTCACACACCTTCCAAAAATGTGTTTTGAATTACCTTGACATTGAAGTGCATAATAGAAAGTCCATAGGCTGCATCTGATCATCAAAGGCAAGTAACCTGCTCTGCAGCTCACCCTTGGCCTGTTTTGGAGAGTTTTGAAAGAAAGGGCTCTGCAAATAAGTTGTATAAATGAGTTGGGCACTGCCAGCCCAAATCCAGCTGCCCAGTTCTGCAGGGACTCTAGTATTAACTGGAGCCCTACAAACCTATGCTGATACTAAAGTCCAGTATAGGAACTAGATAAAAATGGAATAAAAAGTCATTAAAAGTCTACAATTAAGAGGAAAAAAAAAGACAGTTATTAATTCAGATCAAACAAAGACATTTAATGGAACTCAGGGACTGAGGTACATTCCACACTTCTAAACAAAATATGGATGGATATTACTATTGGAGCTGAATTTGGGACTAAGAATATTCAAAAACGTCCACCACCATGGAACCTTTAGAAGTGGACTATATTCTACTTCATAATTCCCTAGTTAAAGGGATCTATCTTAAGATTATCTTAACAGATTTTTTTTTTCTTCCATTGCTGAACCTTAATCACCAGACTGCAGAAAGGCAGTCCAGAAGGCAGCCGGCCTTCAACACTCAATCAGTAAAATCTCAGACTGAAGCATGAAGGTTTCCATTCTGTCTACTTCTATTTTCTTTTGCTCATCACATTTCTTCTATGCTCGCTCTCTTAGCCTTTCCTGATTATACTGCCACCTGCAGTATAAAAAAGGAGGAGAGTCTTCCCACGAGTATCTGCTGAAAAAAATGTATTTGGTCAAATAAATATTTTTCCAAAATTACAAGCTCTAGAGTAATAAGTTCCATCTCCAAGCACCTGTGAATGGGAGAGGTTCCCTTTTTAACAAGCAATCTCCTAACAATTGCAATGAAATAGTTTTCTTCACCTCTTTGCTACTTTGCATTTCTCCCTGTCCTGTTTTCTCCACTGTAGGAAAAGTAAGCACATTCTCATGTACGATACCACATTAATTGACTCAGAATTTATTTTTGTCTTTAAAAATCATTTGGTTTTCATATGAGAAAGTGCATTTTTTCTGATTTCCCAGCCTTTCATGTGACTTTTTTTATGTGTTAACCATAGGTTTAAAAGTATGACAAAGTGGTTTAGGACTGAAAATACTGTGCATCAATAAATTAACAACAGTTGCTGCCTCTCCTCATTTTTATATCCTAGAATTAACAAGGAGTCCTTTGGTCACTCTAACATCTTCTGCACTTCAGAAGGCATCAGGGCCCAGGCAGAGTTGAATGCAGCTGTGCTCCACAGCTGGTATTCTTCTCTGCACCCTCTCTCCACTCTTCCTCCTACAGCTGAAGAAATGCATACCTAAGGAGGCCTTATGGACAGCACACAGTAAAAACAACTGTCTGACTTCCACTATGTCTAGGTAGCTGCACCATGTAAGGAGTAAAAGATATTACAGTTTATATCTTGGCATTGTAATCCAGGGACTCAATATAACCCCCAAACTTAAAAGCTCTACTGAAACAGGAGCCATCACCAAACAGGATTTGGAGAAGTACCTGTTGAGAAGAAAACTTTTGAAGGACTTTAAAGATTTGGGTTTTTTGAGGAAGTCTGACTTTGATATATCAGCAGATACACATAGAAACTAATGGCATTTAGTGGCTAATGGCAAAAGTATTGAGTAAAAGGCAGCACTTTTACCGAGTGCAATCAAAACTGAAGTTCCTTAATTCTGAAGAAATACATTTACCAAGATAGAAAGAACAATTGCAACATCATTGCTTTCTGAAACCACTAATAGTCACAGATTGTCTCATGTTTTACAACACAATGTTATCAATTTTCTTAAACCAGTTATAAATATGGCATCACTATTAATAAAATAATAAACAAGATGCTTATTTGAATGGTCAAAGTTTAAGGCATTGTGACACTCAACTGTTAACTGGTTTAAGGCAAACACTGTGGGCATTTCAGAGCAAAGTTCTGACCCTGGTCTGTAGCTCATGAAAGTAGTGGATGTGGGCCATTCTTGTGGGGGTTTTGTTTGTTTGAGGTTTTTTTAAACCTTCTATAGTATCAAAAAGAAGGAAGCAGTATGGAGTTTTTTGGGCAGTTTTTTCCAACAGAGGAGCACCTAAATGTACACTTCACAGCAAACTGACTGTAGGAACTCCAGCTTGATTGTTAGGTACAACTGAGGAAAGAGGTTTTTGCTTCTTACAGCAGTAATTATGTCCCCAACAAATTACAGAGTGACTTTGAAAAAGAAGCATCCAAAAATTCTCCTTCAATATGAAAATTTTGGGAATCCAAAACTATGAATGGTCACTTTGAAAACTGTTTCCTACTACAAGTAAAGAAGCATCTTACAAAATCCTATTCAAAATCCAGAATCTGACTAAAGTCCAGAGGTATTAAATTCAAATTTAAACTGGATATCCAATTCTATAACAACTACATTCTATGAGAAAACAGCACCTTACAAACAATATGGGATTCTTTATTGGTTGTAATGACTTCTCAGTTAAATTTAACACACTTACCATACCTCATTTTTTATTCCTTCAAGGATGTGACTATCCTTACCTGCATTTGCATTAAGATTTATCAGTTAAATTAGTTTGACATGTTCAGGTCATCTGTCAAATATGACAAGGAGGCAATGTCACAGATTACTGAGAAACAGCCCTATGTGCAAGATAAAATGATCAGAATTAGAGATGGGGACTTTTCATGAGACTTAGTTCTGAAACTGGAACAATATCTAAAGTGTGAAAAGAAAGTACAGTGAAGTATTTTGCCTTGAAGTCCATCACTGCCTCTGGATCTAGACTGCTCAAGTCCACATATCCCAGTGCAGGCCTCATTAGGGATACAAATGAGATGAGGAACAAAAATCTACATGTAAAAATAAATGTCAACAATTAATAGCAGTTAATAATTGACACAAATAGTTGAGTAGGATAAGCATTATTGGCAATTGAATTGTATAATTAATGGAAAAATATTCTCTATCATATTTTACAGGTTTTTAGGGTATTTTCTCTATAACTCTTTTGATTTCATTCTTTTTCAATTCAACAAGATTTTTTCTATAAAGGAAACCCTTGCATTTATGGTCTATCATGACTTTTCTGTCCTTTGCAAAGCTCTTTAAGTAGTCACAGAAAGTGCACAACTGTATCCAGGTGTTTTATACCTGTTTAAAAATTCTGGGAACTATTCCAAGTATTTATCTACAAACATGAATTATATTTACAGAAAATTAATGTTAGCTGATAATTTATGGGGATCTGGAACATATAAGGTGGCTGGCATATATGAAAAGGTAGAGGCAAAAATCCTACCCCCAGTTTGTGGGAAAATTCAATGCTCAAAAATATAAAAGGTGCTGGGTCTCTGAAAAGCTTGGTTAGGGATGTATATTTATGCATCTATATCGATAATACATACATATATATATGTATGTATGTGTATGTAATTATGTAGAAATAAAATGTAATCTTACAAAAAAAATTTCACTAGTCCATGACCATAACCAATTATAGGATCAGTAAAAATTTCATTAAAAGTACAGAAATACAGATAACAAGATTGTCCTATACACTGCAAAAGTCCCACAACACTGTTCAAAGGTACAAAATATAATTAAGTACTAACTGATACTCCGATGATAACCATATTTGTCTTTTTGTGGTTTTGATTTCTTTTTTTAAGAAAAAACATCCTACATAACAATAAAGCAACACACACCTCTTTATATAATTCTTGGTATTTACAATGTACTCATGTTTGGCCATGTAATCTCTCACATGACAAGTGCTAGCAGAATAATTTGAGCACATATTTCACAATTACATTAAACCAACATTGTTGCATCCATCACCATGTATTCTAATACATTTACTGAGCACAGAGTCCATGAACATTTACAGAACATTCTTCAACAGAAACTGAAACCAACAAAAAATATCCTGTTTAATTTCAGTAGAAGCCAATGCTTCATTTTAGCAATAACAGTGCAGCTAGCAGGAACTGTTACTACCTCATAAATTTTGCCATTAACTACAGCTTGTGCCCCAGAGGGGCACATTCATTTGCTTAAAATCAAGCATAGTTTACTGAATGTCTGATCCAATGTAATATAAAATAAACCCACTATAATAAGCAATTTGCACATAGTTACTGTACACAGGAAAAGCTCTGGATAGTGACAGAGCAAGGTTGATGAAAAGGTCTTTATAAAAACCTCTGCTTTCCTTTAATAAGTAAACATATGCTAATGCACAAAAAATAATAGGCACAGTATGGTGCATTACAAAATCTATCGTGAACTTAAGAGAACATACTTTTACATTATTACACTGCCAATCTTTCACTGATACAATTTTGCCCTGTGAAGATTGGGGATAAAGGAAGCGTTAATTACTTTTACCGTGGTTGTTGAAATGGTAGATTTATTTATCTATAGGGAAACTTTTTGATGGTATGATAATTTAATAAATTATACAAACAATTTCACTGAAAGCAATGGTACATTCATGATGACTAATACAATCCCTGAAATGTGCAACTGGGTCATGTCACCACTATAATGTCCCACTAGCGTGTATAGTAGATATTATATGAAGATTGTCCCAAACTAATATTCCAGAGTATCTCACTCAGAGTTTTAATAGAAAGCCTAGAACTGAATTTGAACTTTGAGTACTCATTTATTCATAAACATTCGTTTCCGTTACGTCTTCATTCCTCATGACTCCTGTTGCCATTAATTTTGTTTTCTCATGGCCTTTTCTGAGGCTTCTTATTTGTTCCTGCCAGAAGGAGGGGGGTCAGTACCTCTGTTCCAATGACCTTCTGCTGAAGGCAGCCCCTTGCTTATGCACTCAGTCAGTGCTGCAGGACTCCTGCCAATCTATCACAGACATCAGTCAGGCACAGGTAGTTCGGCCCCTGTGCCAAAAGCCCCAGCAAACCTCAGCTAGTGGCCAGTGCCTCAGGTCATTGTAACTAGGCCAGTACAACCCAGTCCCAGAAGCTAAAGCCACCTGAGGGGTTGACTCCAGCCCCCAGTACTGTAGCAGACATGGTTCTACCGGACCAAAAGAGAGTGCCTGAAGGTAACGTGTGTTTCCAAGCACCTGACGCTGACTAGTATTTATAAAGCTATTCAAAGACAAAAAAATGCAAAGCCTCCTTAATATTTTTATAGAAATATTCAAGAATTACTTAAAAAAATCTTCTTCCAGGGATGCCAATTCTGTCACTGTTTATATATAGGTAGTAAATGTGCAGTGCACCAATATATATTTTTCTCTTGTTTTGTGTCATTCCATCAGTAATGGAAAATTTTGGGCTCAGGGGAAGCACAACAAAGGTGATTTGGAAAAAGGCTTTCCTTGTGTTGTAGATAGAATGTATCCATTACGCTTTACAATCAGTTCTGATTTGTACCATTGTCAGTATTGTATAAAATTTTAAAATTTCCTCCAGAGGTACTGGGAACTGGAGAAATTTAGAGATATCTGCTAATCAACACCATTTTTGCAGATGACAGTGACTTGCATGATGGATTGGGACCAAGATTGGGACTGGCTTTTTCATATACAAAATACATTATCTATTCCCTTCACTATTAGCCCTTCCAATGTCTCCACAAAAGTCCTCCTCAAAGTGCGAATTTTATCAGTATTACAATCTCCTGCAATATGTGTGTTCATTTTGAGTATTATTAATCTCCCTAACCATTTATTATTGGGCATGACAGCATTTATCCCTTTACACATTCCTTGTTTCATTTTAACAGCAGGTGGAAAAGTCTCAAAAGAGAAGCAGTACAAGCTCTGTTGCTTGCTACATTGAAAACTAAATAGACAACACACTAGCAAGGAATTATAGGAAGACAGGGAATTACAGGGAGACAGACTGGATGACCTGACCTGATGATTGGATGACCATCCCAGTCTAATTTCTAGTAGTTCATATTCTTAGGCTGAAAGAAAGGACGTAAGACCCCAAACATAGTAACTTTTGACTATGCAGATCTACTACATAGTCAAAACCAAACTGTGTCGCTCATAGCAGCCACTGACTTTTTATCCCAAGCACACACTATTTTCATGCAAAATTTAATTTTTCAACAGATTTTTTTAACCACTAGACACATAATGCAACAGCTTTGAAAAGACAGAATTACAGTCAATTTGCTAGGTTACATCAATATCTATATTTCCCTTATTCCTTATATGAAAGCAGTTATGGCAGTCTGGTATTGCCATGCCAGTATAGTTTCTCTTCCACTTTTTTCTTTTTCCACTGGCAGAAAAGCAGCATCTTAAAAGTCTTCCTGAAAGTTTTATTACAGAGGGCATAACACATGGGGTTAACGGTGCTGTTCACATAGCATAGCCAATATCCAAGGTGCCACAGTGTTACTGGAATGCATTCAGGGCAAAATGTGGAGATCAAAACCATGATATTATAGGGAGTCCATGTCATGATAAAAGCCAAAAGAATGGCACTTAAAGTCTGTGCTGCTTTGCGCTCCTTTATAAGAACCATCCGTTTCCTTTTGGTGATTTGGTTATTTATATTTGGATCCATGCTTTTGATGGAAGGATCCTTTGGCAGAGCAGCAGAACAGGGAGTTATTTTTACTTTTTGGCAACCATTGTTGGCTTCCTGGGTACCATCAGCCTTAACCACCAATCGGAATTTATAGGCTACACATTTTTTACTTTTCTGTATGTGGTCTTTGGCAGGTGATAAAAAGTATTTCTGGTTCTCAAAATCATTTTCTTCAGGTTGGTCTTTGATGACAACATCTGTACTCTCATTAAACTCTTCTGCCTTAGATGGACTTCCATAAGTTACTTGGAAAACTGAGTCAGTAGCAAGTTTATCCTCCTCTTCTGATGATGCATAGCTGCTGCAGGTGGTTAACTGGTCAGCCTTAGCCCAGTCGATACAAGTACTCGCTGCCTGAGAGGCTTTCACCGTGGCAGACGTACTTCGACTAGATGAAGACCAAGAAGCCTGACACCTCTCTCTTTTGACTAAGTTTTGTTGCTTGCAACTGAAGCAAGACTTCAGGAGAGCTTTCTGAGGCTTTATTGTCTCAAACTCTGCCACAGACTCTGATCCCTGCAGTTCAGCAAGGTCCTTGGTACGTTTCTCTGTCTCTTTATAGATGCGGCAATACAGAATGGTCATCACAGACACTGGAATGTAAAAAGCAGCAATTGCAGTACCAAAGGTGACAATGGGTTCATCTAGAAACTGTATCTGGCACTCTTCAGGTGGTACTGTTCGTTCACCAACAAAATACTGCCAGCACAAGATTACAGGTGCCCACAACACGAAGGAAATTAGCCAAGCCAGACCAATCATGATGCCAGCTCTTTTGGGTGTGCGTTTGGCCCTGTAAGTTAAAGGCCTTGTGATGGAAAAATATCTGTCAAAACTGATGACTAGGAGGTTCATTACTGAGGCATTGCTAGCTACATAGTCAAGTGCTAGCCACAGGTCACAGGCAAGGCTTCCAAGAGACCAATGGCCTATGAGTATATAGGACGTATAAAGGTTCATAGAAAATATCCCAATGATGAGATCTGCACAGGCGAGGCTGAGCAAGTAATAATTGTTGACAGTTTTGAGCTGACTGTTAACCTTAAAGGATATCATTACAAGAATATTTCCCACTATGGTTATTAAGCTTACAATTGCAGTTACCGTGGCAATAGTAATGACTTCCCAGAGGCTATGCCCCTCTAACTGCTTATGGTTGACTGATGAACTGTTTACAACAGTGGAATTGCTGAATAAATTGACTTCCATTCTTGTTCTTGGTGTATTGTCATCAGGATCTTAGCATTGTTGCATATTGCTTTCTGTATTCAAAAACATCCTTTTGGAGATAGCTATAATGATCAAAGCAGAAAGAAAACAGAAAATGAAAGTACCTCATTAAATAGCACAGACTTCCATTAGAGTTACCATAAAAACATTTGTAAAATAACCTATCAAATTATTTGTGTTCGCCTTTTGCATTTAGGTTACTCTTCCTACCCTTGTGAACGTAACTAAAACCCACAAATGTAAATCCTAAGACAATGTCCTCTTACATTTTATGACATTTCAAAATACAATGTAACTATTGTTTCATAAGATAGTCAATCACATCAGCTCTTACATTTTGAATACCTTAGGAGACACTCTACATATTCTCAAAGACAGACACATAAAGTTTTGCAGTGCAGTAAGACAGTGAGTCACTGTGTTGTTTCCCACAGTACTATGCAGAAGTTGTCAGAAGGTTTCAGAAATGATCTTTGGAAAATTTTGAAAAGTGACCATCAACAGAAAGAGAGCAAGAGAAAACTGAGGATGCATGGGGAATTAGGAACCACACTGCCATGGTGACAGCAAGAAACAATTAGGCGTTAGAAGTGCTTGAGTCAACTGAAGGGGAATCTGAGCTAAGAAAGCAGGCAAGGTCAGGAAGATGTTTCTGGAAAAATAAGTTAGGCAGGAAAGATTCTTCCCCATTAAGAGATCTTAGGACAGAGGAGACTGACTGGGTTAGGTGTGGAAGTACAGTCTGGGTAGATTGGTGAGTGAATGGTAGGGTTGAGAAAGGAGTAAACCAAAGAGGAAGAAGCAATAGATAATCACGGTGATAAAGAATGCTACAAAACCAATTTCATAAAAAATTTTTAACTTGCATAAGCAGCAAAAGGTGAAAATAGGACCACTCTATTAATGCATACATATGTCTGACATCCACTCCTTCCTACATTCCTCAGTGCTTTTTTCTTGTGCCAGTGAATACATGCCTGTATTAGGCGAAATTTCTTTCACAGATACGCTCTGGATTTTGAGTGATTCAATCACATAGATGATGCTAATGACTTGCTTGATGCTTAGTCTTGCAAAACTGTGTAATACTGGAATAGTCAAGTAGTACTTAGTTTTTAAAATCAGAAATTAAAGAAAAAATATTAACAGGTTTTTCTATTGAGCATATAGCTAGTGTAAAACTGGTAAGATGATCCCTTTTTTCGAAGCAAACACTGGTTCATCACTATTAAAGTCCAGTTCTAAGATGTTAGAATTCTCTCTTAATCAGATCTCTATTATACGGTCCTCCCTATCCATCCATACCACTTCTCTGTGTTTTCATCTTTCATCCTAACTCTCAGAACATTGTTATCTTTGGCCTTGGCAAGTAGCTTCCACAGCCTATCCCTTTCCCACATCTATCTTTTGTATACCAAGTAGTTGGGTCCTGTCTCTTATCAACTGAATACAGGGTCTTACAGCTACTAACAGAACTTTCAGAAAAGCATCTCATTTTCTTTCATTGTCCTCTTTGCCCAGGGAAGTGGTTGAGTCACTATCCCTGGAGGTGTTTAAGAGGCATCTGAACCTGGTAGTGGTGATATGGGTTTAGGGGTTACAGTGGCAGTGTTGTGTTGGTGGTTGGACTTGGTGATCTTAAAGGTCTCTTCCAACCTTGATGATTCTATGATTCTTATTTGCTTTCATTGTTTCCTTCACTTTTGTCCCTGGTCTCCTAAGTACCCACAGAAGTTTATCTACTTCAGTCTGTATCTTTCTACTTCAAACCCTACCTAATTATTATCTCTTGCTGTGATGAAACTGGGTAATGGCAAGTTTCCTGATGTACTGAGTCTTCTGTGTACTGTGCTCCTCAAAATGCTTCTCCTTCATCTGTGTGTCTGTCATCTCCTGTCTTATATTTAAATATTTGTGCATCTCTATTCTGTTTATACATAGCATATATTGAACCTAATTCAACAGGATTCTAGTTCATGTATAGGCCTTGAAAACTAGCAATACTCATAGTATGTGCACGCTGACATCTGTATGCTTGGCTCTCTCTTTCCAACCTGCAGAGCCAGTCTAGCAGCCAAGAATAGCTGAAGTGCCACAGCAGTCCTAATGAGCCCTATGCAAAGGAAGACATTTCATCCTGGTTTTGCATTCTGCAAAGACTTCCCCTAAGTCAGAGTTGCCCTGATGGCTGACCGTGCTGGCTTTACAAACCTTTACACAACCCTGAAGAGTAGGTTCATTTAGTGTGAAACAAAGGTGTGTGGAACAGCTGTATGACTGTGATAAGTAGCTGAGTTGTGAGAGACGAATCTCTGTCTCTACTGCCTCATGTGGCTTATGCTTCTTTTATTGTTGCCAGTCAGCAGAGTTGTTCTGCACATTTAAAGTTCCATGTGACTAAATTTTTAAGTAAGGTAGAGTGGTAGTGGTTTTAGTGTGGCAATGTCAGGGGGTGGTGAGGGCCCTTTGCTTAAGCAAGGGAAGGTGAGCCACAGGTGAAGCATGATGCCAAGGCAGGTGGGAGCTATGACCTCACCAAGAAGCAGCAGGATGTGGAGAAGCACTTTTGGTTCTTGAGAAGGCCAGTGATGGTGATGAGAGTCAGACATAGTCCAGTGATTGCACAACAAGTCTGTAGTGATGAGGAAAGGTCAAGAGCAATCCAGGAAGCCCAGCCAGCAGGTCTGAGTCAGGATCTGAGTCAGGACTGAGGAAATAGGAGAGCAGCTGTAGATGTAGCTGCTGCATGTCAGTGGTACAGCCTCAGCTTAAAAGCAGTTTCCAAGAAAAAGGAGAGGGAGGCTGTTATTTCTAACTTTCTTCACAACAGATCTTATCAGCAGAACAGCTGACCTTGGATTCATCCAGCTGAACTCCAACATAGTCAATGGTACTCCTAGAGTGGGGCTGTGCTCCGGGCCTCGACAGCTAATGTACCTGAAACACTGTCAAGGCTCATGAATTTTAACAAGTTGCAAGACACCAGCTAAGGCTAGAGGTCGTCTTAAAAAGGCACTAGCTAGGAATATCAAGCACATGGATCAACATACACAAACTTCTACCTCTGCCTAACATCTGGGTTTGAGCAACTGCACAGGAGGTTGTTTCAACTGTCAACCTTTTTTTGCCAGAAGATAACACTTTTCTCAGAGGAGGGAAGACAAGAAATTGTCTAGGTGCTGTTGCCTGTAATGTTTTGTCTTTCCATAGGTAGCAAGTGTCCCCCCCTCTTAGGTCACTTACTGTCCCTAACATTAGGATTTAGGAAGAAAGACTGCTGAAACTGTGCCATGTGGATGGCAGACTTCAGAGCAAAAGGAGAAGCAAAAGTTTTTGTTGTCTTGACACAATTGCTCTTGGTTTGAACTGACATGTGTGGCAGAAACACTGGTAATATGGTACAGAAACTACAATTAATTTCTTAATAAAAAGCAGTCTTATTATTGTCACGCAAAAGCTTTCCCTTCCTAATAGACTATTTTACTGTGATGTCTATAAAAGCTGACAGCAGCTAAGCTACTAGTATGCAAAGATCTCTTCTTGGCATGTTGACCATTCTTGTTACCTCTTCATACTCCATAATCTTTTGTTTCAGAGGTCTGTGTTAACATTTCATGGCATTACCTTTTGTCATATATTTGTGTATTACTCAGGGCAATAGTGCCTGTGAGCAGGACTCCTGTGTGCTATGGCAACATAATTTATGTTAATTGTCTATCTTAGAGATGATAATAATAGGGAGATCAAAATTAAATTACAAAATCAAAATGCATATGAACAGTATCATAACTTTGCTGTGTCTCATAATTATTGATGCATAATGTTCATGCTTATGAGTTGTAATGGTATTTTCTATTTGTTGCCAAATATGAATGATATTTTTTCAATCTATCTAATCAAGTATTAATTAATATGAGTTGTTAAATTTATACATATAGTCAGCTTCCAGTTATCTGCAGGCAGATTGTTCATGTCACAGATTAATTGCACCACAGATGCAGGCACAGCTTGGGTTCACCAGGTTTTATTAGCTCTATCTCATTCTATGTCTGCCAGACCTGTGTTGGCTGCACGAGAATTGCTTGGATGTCTTTGCAAAATTCTTGCCAGTGCTACTCCTTGTTATTTTATTTATTTGTGTGTATGCTAAGCTAATTTACTGATTCGCTATGTGCCATGCCCCAGAACTAAGCAGCCCTTACCAAAGGTAGTAGTGCAGAGTAAGTACAGTTCATGATTTCAGAAAATAGGATTGTGGTCACATTTTGCTGGAAGGGCTACTGAGTTTAAAACCCTTCAAAACCAGATTGATATTTTAATGTGTGTTGTCAAATGACAGCCTGTGTGCTCAAGAGCGATCTGGCAAGCTAGTGTTAGAAACTTGGTGAACTTTCCCAAGGACACATGGGTGGCTACTTAGTTCCAGATGAGCAGAACAAACCAGCATGGCACAAAGCTTCCCACATCTCTGCTCTGTATCCTCAGAGGAGAACACTCTTCAAGTGGCTGCAGAATCACCTCACAGGGTTCATGTAGCGTAGCCTTCTGTGTAACACCCTGTCAACCTGAGATCAGTTGGGTTTTTCCTCATTTGCTACAGAAAGCAAAGGTCCTGCATTTGTGTGACAACAACCCCATGCAATGCTACAGGCCAGTGGAAGAGTGGCTGGAAAGCTGCCCAGTGGAAAGGGAGCTGGAGGTGCTGGTCAACAGCTGGCTGAACATGATCCAGCAGTGTTCCCAAGCGGCCAAGAAGGCCAACGGCATCCCGGTTTGTATCAGCAATAGTTTGGCCAGCAGGACCAGGGCAGTGATTTTCCCTCTGTATTTGGCACTTGTGAAGCTGCACCTTGAGTCCTGTGTTCAGTTCTGGGCCCCTCACTATGAGAGAGTCATTGAGGTGCTGGAGGGTGTCCAGCAATGGGCAAAAGAGCTGGTGAAGGGTCTGGAACAAAGCAGGAGCGGCTGAGGGAGCTGGGTTTGCCTAACCTGGAAAAAAGGAGGCTCAGGGAAGACCTTACAACTTTCTACAACTACCTGAAATGAGGTTGTAGCCAGGTGG